GATAGTCGTCGTTTTGTCGACCACCAGCCACAGTACGTCTCTCGTGTGGACAGGCCTCTGCTGCTCCACCGTCATCCCTATCCCTTTGCGTGTGTAGGTCAATACTCTTGGTCTGGTTCCTTCGCTGTCCCAGAAGTCGACCGGGACGAAAGAGTCGAAACCCGGGTGCGTGTTCAGTTGCACGTTTCCGTCCTTCCAGCCCGTCCAGGGTTCCTGGACGAGGACCACATCTATCTGAGCCTCCCAGCAGAGCTGCAGGAAAGCCGTGTGCGCCGGGGAGATCTTTCCGACGTTGCCCTGCGCAACGCGTAGCATCCGTGGGGTCGCCGCTCTCGGCTTACGTCTCCGAGTCGAGTTCGAGGTGGGTGTAGGCATTCGCGACGTTGTAGTTTGGCTTCTGTGCTGCCCGTTGGCTCCTGCTTGGCATGGGTAGCACGGGACGGTCGATGGAGGTGTTGTCGGGGGAGTCTTCGCCTTCGCCTTCGTCCGCCTCGTCTTCATCCATGCTGCTGCTGTCAGTGCTTCCGTCACCGAGGCAAACGATCGAGCTTGCGGAGGGCGTTCTCGTGCGCGCGCGCTTGGCGCCGGGTTGCTGGTTCTGGCTGGTGGAGGTAGGGACGCCTGCCGCCTCCTGGCTACTGTCGGATCGAGTAGCCTTGTACAGAGTGTCCGATGCTTTCTGGCCGGCCTTCCGGATCCGAGCCCGCTCCTTTCGACCGGGAAGGGAGACGACGCCGTTTACGACCGAGGGCCTCGCTGGGCAGTCTGTGTGGCCGGCTTGGAAGGGGCCGCAGCAGTTGGGACACTGGGGCCTGGCCATGCAAGGTCCCGTTTCGTGTGAGTCGGAAGGTCTTCCGCAGTTGCTGCAAGTCGGTCGTCGTCCGCAGAACCGGTTGGCGTGGTAGCCCTGGCAGCCGGGGTCATGTCGGATGAGCGTCCTTCGTTTTTTGATGGGCAGAGATCTGCCGCTTTGGTTGAAGAGCCTGAAGGGCGTGACCTCTGATGTGAATGATATGAGCCAAGATATTTCGTTCGTGACTGGGTTGGGCCCAAGGCGGGACGGTCGAGCAAGGACAGGCTTCTGTCCTGTCTGTGCGAAGACCTCATCTTCAACGAGTGTGGCTGGGTCCAGGACGTCCCCGCCAATGCTGTGTAGTTTTGTTGGGCATCGCGGCACAACGTATGTGTGCCACTTGATAGGCGTCTCGACTTGGTGGGCGCCGAGGCATTCCGCCAGCTTTGCCTTACTTGTAAGTAGTCTTTCCTGTATTTGCTTGTTTCGCGGCTTCAGAGAGTAACCTGTGCTGATATGGTAGACGTGGGGAAGGTCCGCTAGCCCCAGGCCAACGGCCTTACAGACGATCTGTCGTACGGCGAACGGTGCGATCTTCCGAGCGGCCGCTAAGCTTTCTTCCGGGACGCGGGCAAAGATGCGGAGGTCCTCCTTCGGCTGCGCCTGCGGCTGATCCTCGGCGGGGAGTGTGGCCTTCGGGCGGGCAGAGCTCTGGCAGCTCTGGCCGCTCCGGGTCGCCGCAGTGGTGTTGCCCGCCATCGGTGCGACGACAGCCGCCCAACTCCGGGCCGCTATTGGGCTTGTCTCGTGATTGATCAGTCTCTTGAGGGTTTGAATGACATAGGCAGTGGCTTCTTTCGCGATCTGCTTTCTAGAACCGTCAAAGCTGGCGACAACGCTGTCGACGGACCGTGCAATGGTCAGAAAGACGTCTTTCCGTGCCTCGTACTGTCTAGCTTCTTCTGCAAGGGCTGTCAAGACGGACCCTGTGGCAGATCCGCTCGGAGCAGATGCGGTAGAGGCTGCGGGCCCCTCGGCCGAGGTAGGGGCGTCGGTGGTGGCATCAAGCTGGCTTCCCGTTAGGCTGGGCCGGGTCGGCTGTGCCTCGGCGTCGCGGCGTCGCTTAGCTCTTGAGGTGGGGTTCGGCTCCGGAGGTGTCCCGGAGCCTGGTTCGGGGTCGGCTTGGTCGGCCGACATCAGTCCGGTGCCCGACGGCGGCTGTGAGGCCATCGCGGATGCGGGCTCCGGCAAGGGGAGGTGAAGAGTTTTCGGCTGTTAGTAATTTGGTGGTAGGCTCACTCATTCACTAACAGCAGATGCCAAGAAAAATTAGGCGAGAGGGAAGTTGTTTCATCGATGGTGTACTGGGAAGTGCTTGTCTCTTTCCTTGTTGATCAATTAGCCGACTCACTTTCTTACCTTGATCCTTTCCTCGAAATCGACATGATACCCCCTTCATATGTCTGTCCCTGGACTGGTGTTGGAACTTCAGTGTTCATTTACCTAGCGAAAGTTGGTTCGCTTGTACGAAGGAAAAGATCACTCATGCGCACTATGTTGTCAAACAAAATCAGAACCTTCGAAAAAGTGGCGTACGAAAATCTCCTTGGCGAAGCTTCTTTATTGGAAAATCAAATCCGCAGAACCAAGCTCCCTAGGCTGTCATCCATCAAGGACACCGGCGATATCAAAGCCCCACCCATTCACTTCCTTCAACTTGCCCATTGCTACCAACTGAGTGGCTGTTTGGAACTGTACCGCGCCTTTCCGGAGCTGGCCAAAGCTCGTCTTGAGTCGGATCCAGCAGTTCGTATATCTTGCGATGGGATAGACAGACCTTCACAGCTGTTACTGAGGCTTGCTTTTGACATCTTGAGTACCCTCGAAACCATGCCGGACGACTCTCGGACCATCGCAACACAGACTCTGGTAATCACTATCGCCGGCTCAGTCCTTGGCAAAATCAAGATAGCGGATGAGGGCCAATTTACGTCAGAACAGTACACTTTTAACTACAGTATCAAGCGATGGAGAAAATCTGTCCTCCAGAGATTGTCCCGGACCTACCAAATCATTGGCCTACGCACCATACAGCGTGCCATGACTCTTCTTGTCAAGGTATGGTCGCGCATGGGCCGGGGAGACAGAGTGATTGATCCGGAATTGAGGATTGCCGACCATGTCCACTGGATAGATGTCATGGAGGAAGAAGGGCTGGAGACGCTCCTCGGTTAGCTTTATCATACATTCGTGATGATAGTACGGTCGTATGCATGCACAGATCTGTCGTTGCATGTGACTACAGAGAGTTGCAAAGAAGCTTAAGTTCGGCTTCTGATCAAATGCCAGATATACTCTTGATCTAATCGAAACAATAACAGAGTCATAGATAGCCCCCAATACTCTAACAAGTCGCGGTCGGGAAAAACACGCTTTCTGATGCATGGATTAGCAGCCTGGCACCATAACAAAGTTGGTGACATCGGCTAGAAAGCCTGCAGGCTGGAGATGGCAAAGTACAGGCGAATTTAGCCTGTGATAGGCCAGGTACATGCAGCCATTTTCGTCTAATTTCCGAAGTGCGTCAAGAAGTCCAGACTTTTCAGATGGGAGAATCTTGGAAGACGAGTGTGAAGAACATAACATTACAAGCTGTGTCTCTCTCCCTCCAATCCTCGCACGCGGGCTAATCTAATGTCTCCCTTATGCCGTCCCTTTATTATTTACGGAATTAATTACGCCGTCAATTCCTCCTAAATTATGTCAAACCTTTTGCTTGGTGACCTCGTCCAACCGATTGAAGTTGGGGTAGCAGAATGTCTTAGCAGTCTGTTAGTGGCTCATACGATATTACCAACAATTGGCTGCGTTGGTGAGGCCTAGCACTAGCAGAGAGGAACTTAAGTAAGCCACCGGTGAGCCTTTTCCAACGGTCTGGGAGGTCAATTGATGTAAGTAAGTTGCTAGAAGCCTTGATTGGCTCGCCACTTCGAAGCATCATCTTCATCCGCCTTGTCCGTCAAGATCTCTCTTACGAGGAACGGTGCCACCATCTCGCCCAAATACGAGATGGAAAATCACAATCAAATGTTTGTCGCGTGCGTCCTCTACCAGCCTCGGTCCATTCATGGTGGATTCAGTCAGCCAGCTTATCACCTGCACATCAAATCACATCGCCAGGGTGTTGTCTACCCCAACCCCTGCCACCAAGCTCCCAACTTGATGTAGCGCGAGGCCAGCGCCTCTTCCTGGTCGGACCGGTGTCCAAGACTTGGGCAAAATGGCTCGCCCATCCCAACGGCCAAGTCAATCATCAGACAAACGATTCGTCCGCGCCCCCAAGGAAAAAGCTTAAAAGAGCAACACCTGCGACTTTGCCGTACGCAGTAGTGCCAGGGCCAGAAGGATCAGCGCCATTCCCCCTCGGGCATCCCTGCCGATTCCCCCGCGTCTTGCCCCATATCGGAAGGCATCGCCGTCCCCAGACCCCCCGGGGTTGACTGCGGGGGAAAGTGGATGAGGAGAAGTCGGCCGAGTAGATAGCGCAATGGAAGAACGACAACTACCTTGCCTTACTAAGTGAAAAATTTTGGTGTGCTGGTGTGTGTGTGCGCTGGTGTGGGTGACATCCCTCTCCACCTGCGTCGTATTAGTGATGATATTCCCATTTACGGCTCGACGGACATGACCTCATGCCGACCAGCCGCCGGTCGGGAGCATAGCAGCCCACATGTGAAAGCGAAAACCTGTGAGGGAAATTAGATAGCTCCCGAGGAAGCTAGCTGAGCTGCAACGTGCAGCTGAAGGAAGCCCAGGCTTGCTGGTCTAGAGCTCTGGCTATGAGTGGTGTGGTGTTTATCGCGAAGTGGGTGACAATAGGACAAACGTGATTGTCGGTTGTTCCCTTTTCTATGTCCCCGTTCCCACTCCCACCCCCTCCCCCATGCAGGGTTTTCATACAGTCTCCCTCCACAAAGGAAGCTTGTCCCCCATTCTCCCTTTCTCCTGCATGTATCCAGACCACCCAGGAACGAATTGGACGCTCCATCTCCATGTTCAACAAGACTCCTTGAAGCACTCCTCGTTTCACCATCTCCCAATTCGACCAAACTTCACAATCGCTTAACCAAACAATACTCGGTCAAGAAGAGTACAGAGACATACAATATATTATATCATGATGAAGAAGAACTTCACTCGTCTCGTTGCCGGCGCGGTGTTGCTGGCGAGCGGTGTGGTGGCGGCGGAAAACTGCGCGAGCGTCGCCGTCACAGCTATTCCTTCCTGCGCGCAAAGCTGTTTCCTCGACGGTGCGTCTTTTGTAGGCTGCGATAGCCTCGACTTCTCATGTCAGTGTGGACAAGAAGCGGCTCTCTACGCCGCCATTGAACCCTGTGTTGCGACGGGCTGCCCTGCCGCATCGTTCCAGGCCGTCATCAACGGAGCTTCGTCTGGTAAGTTCTTCCTTTCTCGAAGGACATTTTGTCTATAAGTGCCTCTTATCATGGCCTGTTGGTCACCAGCGGCAATCAATCTTTTTTGAACAGAAAGGCTAACATGACCAAGTCTGTGGTTGTGTCGGCGCAGGGGCTGTTGGTGGCTCAACGGTATCCGGGTCATTCGTCTCAGCCATCTCGGGATCTTCGTTCGCTTCATCGCCTGCGACCGCAACAGCTACGGCGTCTGGAGGTGCCGGCGGTGGAGGTTCTGCGTCCGCTTCGGCAACGCAAGGCGGTGGCGGCGGAGACACATGGAATCCCCTCCCTACCAGTCCCCCGTTCTCGACGTCGTCGCCCGTCAATGCTGCAGGTCGCCAATCTGACTCAAGTCTCGCTATGCTCATCGCCTTTGTCGGAGTAGCAGTAGCCGCTGCGGTCGCGCAATGAATTGATCTCAGCTAGGATGAAAGGTCAATCTGGAAAGAATTGATTACTTCACCGAGAATGTTTTGGCCTGGCGGAGGAAACCAGGGCAGGCGGCTGTTTGCATCATTATTTCTTCTTCACAACACCACTTTTACATCATGACTTATGGACGGATATACCCAGAGGCCGGCGACCTACATACTCAGCCCGACTCTTCTTCTATCAACGACCTCACACGACACAGTCAAATCAAGGCCATCTTTCTGACAGGGAACTCAATGGCCAGGGCGGGGCACTCTCATCTTACGACTTTACAAGATCACTTACTCAGGGCTATGAGTCATGCGTAATCGTCTGTATTTCGTATCTTGAACGGAGGTGCTGGTTTGGAGGACGACATTGTCGAAGATGGGGTTAGTTGTTTAATCCTAATTATAGAACATTTACGCATTGAGCTCGAGCTCGAGCATCTTCACCTTTTGATAGATGCCTGTGCTTGAGCAGGTCAAATTTGATCACGGCGATGAACAATGATAAAATGACACTCCTTTGATCGTATTTCACACATGCTTGCGCAAAATATCGCCCGTATTCCCTCGTCAATTAAGTTGAATATCTTCGGTCTGCACGTTCCTTGTGCCAAATTAATTCTAGGGCGGAACTCATCATTTATTGGACGTATCAAGGCCCTCACATCCATATAGGTATTGGCTTAGGGAAGACTTCACTCTGTGGACCTTGGATTGTTGACCCTCATAAGTAATGAACTCTACGGTCAGAAAGCTCATGATCAAACGTCGGTTGAAGAGAGAATCCTTGCGAGTTTACATTGGCGGAAATATTTGACCAATTGGCAAGTATTTCTCAGTTTAGGCAAGTGAAACCCGTTGTGGTCTAGATGCTGGTGACAAGGACTACAGAGAGGGTTGATCACGCATGCTTTAGCTACTCAAGAAAGGCCACGAGAATCAGGACTCGAGGAATTAACTATTTCAAGGTAGAAACGCAAGCTCTCATGTTCAAATGTTATAATGGCCAAGTATACTAACCTCATGTGGGCAACTCAAACAAGCATGGCCACTCACGGTCCCGCAAGAGGGGTTGTATTGCTGCGGGAGCTTCCCAGCGGGGCGCAGAGACCGAGGTTGCGACGGCCCTGTCGAAGATCTCCCGACACTCCTTATCTTTAAGTCTGGTCACTTGGGAAGTGTCTAGCCCTCAAAGACTCCATCTACTCGTCGACGTAACCGTACTTTGTCTATGTTTGCTAATCTTCAAGTGTTGACGGCTCAATTGAATGATCTCTTGCTGTATATCAGCAATCCCCGAGTGAATCACTCCTTTTTGTACCATGTCCGCAACGGAGACCGAAGACTGGTCAGAAGAATGACAAACACCTGGCCTTTGAAATGAACCGGTCAATCATGGCCCCCAGAACGCAAGACTTCGCAACCAAGATGTTGACTAATCGCAAATTTGCTGGCGATTTTGTGAGCACTCTCATGTTAAGCTCAGCTGTCCGAAACTCCGACTCAGCTCAAGTCCGGGAGGCAGGCGGCTTGTTGTGAGACTGAGAGTTTGGCTTCCTTGCGGCATTCTTCGGGCTTGTTCTCGAGACCTTGATTAATCGGGGATCTGTCAAGAGCTGTTCAGACGCGAGCCCGGAGTCTCAAGCTAGGAAGAAAACAAGTCAATCATCTAAGTTGATATTAACATTAGTACTACTTTATACTTCTCACTATCACTGCGCTTTCCCCACGGGGTAGGACGCAAGATACCAAGCTCTATCTTCAACCTTACACAAGTGCCGGATGGCCGGATGTCAAGTAAAGATGCGGGGGGCGCGGGGGCGGGAGCAACCTAGTACTTGCACGGGAGAGCACTCATACGGCCCGGAGCCGATCGGGGAGACTATAAGTCCAACGGAGGCCCCGCACATGCACCGACCGACATGGGACTTTCGCATTCGGAAAGCTGCGTTCATGTTGTCTTATCGGGGGTGTCGTTTTCCGGGCCCCGTCTCGTCCTAAAGATCGTCATCCGATCTCATGATCGCGTCTAAAGCGAGACCAACAGCCGAGGCAACTTGGAAAGCTAGGTCAATGCGTGGGGGCAATGGGGTTTGTTCTTGAGACACTAGTATTCTCTCCGCACCCGCGGACGCCCGTAGGAAAGAGGTGAAGTCACACTTAGAGTATCAATGACAACGAGACGGTCTAAACCCACATATTTGACAACTCAGTTGTCGAAGGTGGGTTCATGCAGTGCTTTCCTTGGCTGGACCTATTCCCCTCACCATCGACTACCTACTTGCAAGTATGAATCATGGTCTTTTGACATAGTGTGCACCACAAACGGGTCTTCCATAGAGAAACGGAGGCCGAACGAACACGCCGATACCCCGAGTTCCTCTTCCCCCATTAGGTGGTGTGACGGATTGCTTGGTAAAACAGGTCGAGAAACACATTGGACGTGGGCTTCTAGGTTTCATCCCATCTCGCAAGCCTCGGCAACTCTGCGTTTTTGCGACCCTTGATTAGGAAATCAGAGCGTAGGGCCCTCGCCACGGTCGGACATTGGTTGGTTCAGATGGTGCGAGGTGGGTATGCTGTTCATGTAGTAGATAGTCGTTCACATGAATCATACAAAAGGTGGCAGAGCCCCATGTGCGCTTTCTCATAGGAGTCTTTTTGCTCGTCACACCGTAGACGTTTGTGTACTAACTAGCATCACCATTACAATGGCGTCAACTCATCCCGCAGACCTCAAGGTAGACGAGATCTACGACTATGTCATCATCGGCGCCGGCATATCTGGTATCAACACTGCGTATTACCTCCAAGCCCACGGCCCGAAGAATGCAAGCTACGCCATCCTCGAAGGCCGTCCGAGGATGGGCGGGACGTGGGACCTCTTTCAGTACCCCGGCATCCGCTCCGACTCGGACATCTACACCTTTGGCTTCTCATGGAACCCCTGGAAGGGCGAGAACCACCTCGCAGGCGGTCCCGAAATATGCGCCTACCTCGAAGAATCAGCCTCCGAGCACGGCATCGATAGACACATAAAGTACAACCACCAAGTCGCCTCCGCGGACTGGAACTCGGCGACCTGCAGATGGATCCTCAAGTCCTCGGTCGCAGGGGGAGTTGAAGGAGCAAGCGAAAAGCAACAGACAAAGACCATCGCCGCGCGGTTCGTCGTCCTCGGCACGGGATACTACGACTACGAACAGCCCCTCGCCGCCGCGATCCCCGGCATCGACACCTTCCAAGGCCAACTCGTCCACCCGCAATTCTGGCCAAAGGACCTAGACTACACCAACAAAAACGTCGTCATCATAGGCAGCGGCGCCACGGCCGTCACCCTCCTCCCCAACATCGCCACCGACGCCGCGCGCGTGACGATGCTCCAGCGCAGCCCTACCTACATCATCGGCATGCCCTCCCGCAAAGCCGGCCTGCAGCGCTTCATGCTCTCCATCTTGCCGAAATCCGTCTCGAGCCGGCTCCTGCGAGTGCAGTACTTCATGTTGTCGTATATCTTGTACTACTACTGCCAGTGGTTCCCCGGCTCCGCGCGCCGGTTCCTGCTGGGTGCGGCAAAGAAGCAGTTGCCGCCGAATATCCCGCTCGATCCGCACTTTAAGCCGCGGTATAACCCCTGGGAACAGCGCCTCTGCGTGTGTCCGAATTCGGACTTTTATCAGGCGCTGCGGTCTGGGAAGGCGGACGTCGTGACGGATACCATTGAAGAGGTGACGGGCTCCGGCATCGTGTTGAAGTCCGGAAGAGTTCTCCACCCAGACATCATCGTGACAGCGACAGGTCTGAAAATCCGCTTCGCCGGTTCAATCGCCCTCTCCGTAGACGGCCGGCGCGTGGACCCCAACACGAAGTTCGCTTTCAAGGGCTGCATGCTCCAGGATATGCCGAATATGGCCTACGTGTTCGGGTACGCCAACGCGTCGTGGACGCTCGGCGCGGAGGCGACGAGCTCGTTTCTGGTGCGGTTGTGGCGTGGGATGGAGAAGAAGAGGTTAAGGGCGGTGACGCCGCTGCTCGAGGATCCGAATATGAAGCCGAACGCGATGATGCCGCTCAAGTCTACGTACGTGCGGAACGCGGCCAAGGTGTTTCCCAAGGCTGGGTCGGGGCGGTGGGCGCCGAGGAAGAATTATCTGATGGATTTGTGGACGGCTATGACGAGTGATGTTTTTGCTGGGATGAAGGTGCAGTGATGGTAGGCTCGTGTTGTTCAGTTGACTGACATGGGCCTGATATCTTGCCTGGTTGAAAGGGCGTTTCGTGGGTTGTCAGTGTGTATGCCTCATCATATTAGCGTGTCTATCGGGGTTTGATAGTCTATGAAAGAGTCCCTAGTTTATAAATGCTCTGGATGTTCTTGGCATCTACTCATCTAAGAATTAAGTATCTCTCGCTTGATTCATACAAACGACCTCTATCAATGCTGTCTCTATCCCATCTGACCCCTTTACTCTGGTTGTCCATCTGCCCAAACGACAATATTCTTTGGCGGATCCTCCAACCCATTGAAGAAAGCAACAACATCCTTGTTACTATACCTCATACTGAAGTGCGTCAAAATAAACGTCGTCCTGGGCCACTTGCGCACTACCTTGTCGAGATCCTTCCACTTGGTATGCTTCGTCTTTTCCGCCTGCGCATCATGCTCATCAAACAAGAAACTGCACTCGGTAATCACCACTGGAATTCCCTGCGCCAACCACTCCGGCTCAGCAGCCAGCGTCGACGCCGTCGTATCCCCAAGGAACGCAAACACGGGTGTCGTCACGGGTGCCGTCAGCTCTACGCCCGACTGCCGCAGGCTCTTGAGCTCAGAGCCGGGGAGCGAGGTGTACTCGGCCTTGAGCTTGTGCGTCGTTGTCCGGAAGACGTAGCCCACAGCGGGGACGTTATGGTCGCACTGGAACACGAGGGCGTCCATGCCCTTGAGACGTCGCAGCGGTACCACGTCGCCATGTTTGACGGCCGTCGTGACGTGCGTTCCCAGAAAGGCCCTCTCCCCTTCCGTCCTGCCCTCCTCGTCGGTGCCCTTGCCGTCGACCTTGAGACCCACGGCCTCGGCGTCGCTGCTGGTCGTGAGACCGCCGCGGTTGAGGAGGGTCTTTGCTAGGCAAAAGTCGTCAAAAGCCTTCTTCATCTCGACGGGGCAGAAGATGTCTGGTGGGTCTTCGCGCTTGGTGAAGGCCGGGGCGAGGAGGCAGTGGTCTGAGTGGCCGTGGGTGATGAAGATGTGTTTCGGGCGTAGGTTGTTCACGACGAGGCCTGCATCGAGAAGGAGGTTGAGTTGGGGGATGACGAAGGAGGTGTGCCATGCTGCTCTGGACTTGCCGGTCAAGACGTATTGGTGGTAGGGTTTGGGGAAGCGCCATTCGAGGATCTCGGACCGGCTTGATTGCGGCAGAGGGGTTGCGAATGTGGCCATTGTGGTGTCGGCTGGGAGCAGTGTCTGGGCTGAGTGGGTGGGTAGGGGGGCGGGAGTTGAGAAGGACGGCGTCGGAACCGGGGCCGGGGAAATCTGGGCCCGGGGTAGATCCGGGGTAGCTGGAGCTGCCGAGTTTCTAGACAGTACGGATAGAATGCTTGAAATGCTCCGGAAATTGAAATATCCTATTTGGAGTCTGCGCTGCAAGCTCTTGATCATGCAACCAAGAAGAAGGGTTTGTCCCGGAAAGAGCCTCTGCAAATGCTCTTGCGCTTCGTTTTGGTGCCTCAGAAGATCCCCTAATCCCGATGACTCTTCCAGTTGAGGATGACTCTGGTGTGGCTCAGTTGGTTGGTTGCCACAACCTCAAGGTTGATCGAATGGCAGACAACAGAAACGTACCTTATTCCAGAGAGGCTGATGATGAGTTAGGGGTCCAACTTTGCCCAAGCAATAGGTCAGACGGTGTGGCTAATGATGTTCCATTCAACTTCCACCAGACCAAAGTCACAGTTGAGGCATTGAGTGTGCGCATCGCTGGCAGAAATTTTGCTGACGTCATCAAGAGCGCCCTTAACCCCGATGCATCGGATATTGCGCGACCTGCCTCCATCGTCGTTTTGCATGCGGCTTTGCTGCAATTGGTCACGTCCATCACCAAGGTAAGGTATTCCTACCAGTAAAATAGGTGATTACCTTCTAAAATTGATGCAGAGTTCAAGACCACGCTGCGATGTGCTTGGCAGCCTGGATTGCTGCGCCCTTCACGTGGCTGCACGGCACATGGCATCCTGCCGAATGGCACAGATTAGGTACCTTAATGTTGAGCGATAACACTCCCGCTGCACGATTTGTAGGGCAGGTTACTCCATCCAGAACCATTTCAAAAGAGCTCGATATCCTGCCGTAGGGATCGGACCCTGATCCAAGACTCTAACGTCCAGCTGGCCTTTCGCACTTTCGCACTTTCGCACATTTGGGCAAGAAACGGGTTAGTCCTATCGGTGAGATGAAAGAGTTCTAAAAGTTGGTTGAAGTGCCTTTAGGTAAAGCATTCGACGATGACAACTCACAGCTTCATCCTGAGTGGTCAGGATCAGGGGCTAAACTTGATTAGGCGATTTTACCCGGCGTGTGCTGAATGGCCAGAGCAGTCACCGCTCGCCCGAACCTGGCAGCGCCTGCGGTTCCGAGCAGGGCCCCACCAAAACAGCCGTCCAAACCGATACCTCCGGTCCCGGAGAGTGGGTCCGACAGGGTCCACCTCTGATAAGGACACCCGGAGGTTGGAGGGCCAGAGCTTATCGTCTAGGGTTTCCCCATCCAGCCCCTCGTCTCGTCCTTCCCCCCACTTTCTTCCATGTGTCTCTCCCCTCCATGTCTCTTCTTCCGCATCACTTTCGAAGACCAACGATTCCTCCTTGTCCCCCGCGCTTGAGCTAACCTGGAGTTTGATGGAGTTCTCTCGAGTCCCGGAAGACGAACCGTCGGAAATTCGCAGCTAATGCACAGTCTGTGTGCGACCGTCCTTATCGGGTCGACCAGACAAAACGTTGACCACGCCTTACAACTTCCATCCTATCCTGTACCTCAATTCCGCTGTCCTAATAGACTAAAAGCTCTTATCAAACCAGTTCCGACTTCTCCACCGTGTCCAATGACTTGACTTATCGAATTGCAACGGCTTACAGCTGCCTTTTGCCAATTGGCATGACGCGCCACATCGCTTGTGCAAGGTACAGTGCACACTCGTTTGTCGTCTGAACGGCCCCCGAGATATACCCCAGGTCACCATGGGCTTGCATTGCCTGATCCGGCTGGTCTTGGAGGGATGAGTCGCGCATCGGATGAGAATGAGAGAGCGCGCCTATCTTGCGCGCTCCTGGACGGAAGAAGAGGGGTGAGGGGCCTCACTCTGGGGATCCCCTTGATCGATTTGGAGATATAAGCTGTAGCTTTATCTAGAGCTCAACATCCCTCAATCATCAGTCGCATTTCTCTCGATACCCTCCACACTCGCCATTGACCTCTCGCAACACTTTTCTCGGTGACAAGGAAACCTGTATAACCACACACGCAGAGAATCTTAACGCACCACAGAGATACACACAATGGCACCGCCGCACCCTCTAGATCCTCTCTCTTCCGCAGAGATTGAGAAGGCCATCGCCGCCGTCACAAAGGCCCACGGCGATGTCTTCTTCAACGTCGTCTCCCTTCACGAACCCCGCAAAGCCGAATTGACAACATGGCTCGCCTCGCCCTCGAAAACACCCCTCCCCGCCCGCATCGCCGACGTCGTCGTCATCGCAAAGGGCGGCAAGGTCTACGATGGTCTCGTTGACCTCGCCTCGGGCGCCATCACCAAGTGGGAGCTCATGCAGGGCGTGCAGCCTATCGTCAGTCCCCCTCCACCGCGATCATGTCCCTCGCAAGTCCAAGACTAACACCACAACCACAGATCACAATGGAAGAACTCCAAATCGTCGAACACATCTGCCGCACCGACCCGAAGGTCATCGAGCAGTGCGAAATCTCCGGCATCCCCAAATCAGACATGCACAAGGTCTACTGCGACCCCTGGACAATCGGCTACGACGAGCGCCATGGCAACACCATCCGCCTCCAGCAGGCCCTCATGTACTACCGCCCGGACCCGGACACCTGCCAGTACCAGTACCCTCTCGACTTCTGCCCCATCTACGACGCCGACAAGCAGGCCATCATCGCCATCGACATCCCCACCGTCCGCCGGCCCCTCAGCAAGGCCGCCCCGGTCGACTACACCCCGGCCGCCGTGAAGAAGCAGTCCGGCGGCTACCGCACCGACCTCAAGCCCATCAATATCACTCAGCCCCAGGGCGTCTCCTTCCAGATGCAAGGCCGCCAGATCTCCTGGCAGAACTGGAACTTCCACATCGGCTTCAACTACCGCGAGGGCATCGTCCTCAGCAATATCACCTACAACGACAAGGGCAATGTCCGCCCCATCTTTTACCGCCTGTCCCTCGCGGAGATGGTCGTGCCCTACGGAAACCCGGAGCACCCTCACCAGCGCAAGCACGCATTTGATCTGGGAGAGTACGGCGCCGGATACATGACCAACAGCCTCTCGCTCGGCTGTGACTGCAAGGGCGAGATCCACTACCTGGACGCCGAGTTCCCCACCCGCAACGGCGGCGTGCGCACCATCAAGAACGCCATTTGCATCCACGAGGAGGACAGCGGCATCTTGTTCAAGCACACCGACTTCCGCGACGACTCTGTCATTGTCACCCGTGGCCGCAAGCTCATCATCCAGCAAATCTTCACCGCTGCAAACTACGAATACGCAATCCAATGGATCTTCCACGTAGGCCCTCCCCATTCATTGCATCACATTAGAATGACGAGAGACTAACACCCCACCAGCAAGACGGCACAATCCAGCCCGAAATCAAACTCACCGGCATCCTAAACACCTACTCCCTCAACCCAGGCGAAGACACAAAAGGCTGGGGCACCCAAGTCTACCCTGGCGTCAACGCCCACAACCACCAGCACCTCTTCTGCCTGCGCGTCGACGCAAACATCGACGGCCCCCGCAACACAGTCTTCGTCGCCGACGCCGTCGCCTCCGACGCGCCCGTCGGGTCCCCCGAGAACTTTTACGGAAACGCCTTTTACGCCAAGAAGACCAAGCTCGATACCACGGGCAAGTCAAAGACCGACTACGACGGGTCGACGAGCCGCACGTGGGAGATTGCCAACACGGATAAGCTGCATCCGTACAGCGGGAAGCCGGCGAGTTATAAGCTTGTTAGTAGGGAGGTTCCTGGGCTGTTGCCCAAGGAGGGGTCGTTGGTGTGGAAGCGCGCTGGTTTTGCAAGACACGCTGTGCACGTCACAAAGTGTAAGTTTCCCTTCCTCCTTTCTACCCTTAACCTCTATAAGACTGGATGAACGGAGAACTGACCAACCCCAACAGACCGCGACGACGAACTCTGGCCCGCAGGCCGCCACGTCCCCCAAACCTCAGGCGAGCCCTCCTCCGGCATCCCAGAATGGATCGGCGACGGCACAGAGTCCATCGAGCAAGAGGACATTGTCCTCTGGCACACCTTTGGCGTCACCCATATCCCCGCGCCCGAGGACTTCCCCATCATGCCCGTGGAACCCATCACCCTCCTCCTGCGCCCCCGCAACTTCTTCGCTAGCAACCCTGTCATGGACGTCCCGCCTAGCTACTGCAGCACCCCGAGCCAGGTCGCGGCCGGCAAGGGCGCGCTGGAGGCGGCGGATGGGGTGAGCAAGCTTGCTTTTACGGGAGGCGCGGCTGCGGGTGAGTCGTGCTGTGCGCCGGGGAAGAGTAAGTTGTGAGGTGGTGGTGGTTTCTGGGCTGAGGAATCTTGGATGAAGCGTTTTAGATAGATATTAAGGCATGCACATAGTATTGAACAGCAATTTTCATATGACAGCGCATAGCTGCTTTTCTTGCATACTATGTGATATAGTCATGTTCTCTGCTGAGCCGCAGCGTTTTTCCAAGGCCTCACTTCAATCGAGAGGGACCAGAGCTCTGCCATTAGTCATCCCTGCAAAGACCTGACCGTTGAGTGCGATTAAACGAGCACGATTATCTCAAGAATGAGAGTCGATACTGGTCGCCCATGATATACGTCCGCTAGGTGCCAAAGGCAGAATAATCCATGCCTGCCAAACAATATCGACAGCAGGAAACTTCTAGAGTTCGACTTGAGAATCGGAGTCGGTGCTATCCGTGCAGGCAGCTTCCGCAGCCTTGTCGGTGGGTCTCAGACGAGCAATAAGGTCTTTAAGAAGCAAACTCGTCTCGGCATCATAAGCGGGCTGTCTGTCAAGAGAGACGCCACCCATGGCAGCAATCGATCGCTTGAGGAACAGCTTCAGCTCGCCCTTGTTGGCAAGGAGACCCAGCATGACTTCTGGTTCAACCCTGTGATTCCGATTACGTTAGCCTCGCCGTCTTCGAAGTAGGGTGGTATGGACCCCAGAAAAGGAATGACACGAACATTCTCTCATTCACCGCGCGGTCGACGATGACTTTGTCGCGGCCCCCTTTATGAGCTTCTTTTCCGCCATGGTGATGGCCGACTGCACGACTTCCAACTTGAAATGCTCGAAGAGCGAAACGGAGAACCTGTATGACTCGAGGCGTCGAAGGGCCTCTTCCCAGTGCTCGACCTAGCCCACAAAGGGTGAACGGAGCAAAGTATGAAGAACGGCTCGTTCTTCAGAAGGCAAATCTCGCTCTATAAGCAGCTCTGCAGCTGTCTCCTCCAAATAGGAGCGAGGAAACGCACCATTGGCCAGCAGCAGGATCGAATTGAACCGAGTATCGAGTTCTTCTGCGAGACATTAACATATAGAAGGTACTGGGCGAGGGAAAGAGGCTAGCTCACCTCTGCGGAGATTGGGTGACTCTGTGCCGTTGGGAGTAGCCATGACTGCAGATTGTACGTCGTGATGATAGCGTTCGGGGTAACAGAGGGAGAAAGATGAATATACCAAACTCCAGTTGATGACGTTGAAAGGGCGAGGAGGTTGAGAGAAAGAAGAAGAGAAAGAGAATCAGAAGGAACCCCCCCCCCCTTCCAACGAATGAGGCAGCATCCCCTCAACGGAAGGTCTCAGGGCAGGCAGTCGTACCTGCTAACTTTCAATTTCAGGGTCGCGTTACAAATCTTTCAAGGTAAGTTACTTTGAATACACCATTGAATGGTAGAAGAAATGGTCGAATTCGCTTAAAAAAATACACGTCATATCATCATGTGATGGTATAATCAATTCGACAAAGAGTTTGTCGTATTGTATGGCTAAATCCCTCAAGCAAATATTCCTCGCTTCCTGGAGCCATCTAAGGCTTCCACCTGAAAGCAGGGTGCTTCCAATCCAAATCACTCTCCTCTTGTCTCGACAAGCCCTGCAACTCGGCCTCGACGTTTCGGGCCTCGCGTCTGCGGTTGTCCCGCTTCATCCAGAACAACGTGAGAGTCGAGGTGATCAAGATCATACTGCAGGTTGCCAGGTTCAATCCGTTGCCGATTGGGTAGTTGGGTGCGTCCCATGGCAAGAAAGCCCACTAAAGCCATGAGTTAGTATACAATCAAATGCTACAATGGGGAAGGGGGGGGGGGAGTCTTACAGTTGAAATGAGACCTCCAACATTGCCAAACATGACGTTCGTTCCAATCGCTGCGCTGCGTGCCGTGTCGGACACGACGTTCGCGGCGACCTGGGCGTTCGTGAGGGCGCCGAGGGCGAACACGGCTGATGTGATGAGGAAGGTGGCACCGTAGCGCACTGAGAGGTCCTTCGAAGCCAGGAACATGATATAACCGATCATCGCTAGCGGTGCAGACATCATGAAGAAGATCTGTCGGCGGTCGAGGCGCCAGCTAAGCAGTGGCAGCAGGACGGTGAAGAAGGCTCCTACAACGTATGGAGGGACGGTGAAGAGTTGTTGGCGCTGAACAGTGGCCGTGGGGTAGATACCCCTGACGATCGTCGGCAGGAAGAAAGCAAGACCTTGGACAGTGACGTTGTTCAGTAGGAAGACAAAAGATGTTGCTAATGTAACAGGGGCGAAGATTCCCCGGCGGAGTTTCTTGGTGTCCATCTTATCGAGGACTTGGGTCTGACCAACGCGCTCAGAGCGAACACGAGTCTCGGCGAGGTCCTTTTCAGCCTCAGTGAGCCAGCGAGCAGAGGCGGGGCGGTCGGTCAGAGTGATGAAGCCGATGAGTGCCAGTCCAATCGTGATGATTCCTTCAATGGCGAAGATCATGCGCCATGTATGGATGCTTCCGAATCCATCAAGACGGAGAATGGCAGAGGCCAAGAGACCACCAAAGGCACCGGCCAAAGGCGCCATAACAATGTACAAGCTGAGACGGAAGGCGAGTTCGGATCGTCGGTACCAACGAGACAGGTAGTAGGCAATACCTGGCAACATGCCAGCCTCAAAGATGCCGAGTAGGAATCGGACTGCCATGAGCTGTGGGACGGTGTGGACGAAAGCGGTGCCGACGGAGCAGATACCGAAGAGCAAGGTGGTAAGGGGGAGGAACCATCCAGGCCCCATGACCTTGCAGAGGATGTTGGCGGGGATTTCGAAGAGAATGTAGCTGATGTAGAAGACGCTGAGGGTTCCATTGTAGTCGTAACCTGCCATGCCGAGGTCCTTCTCGAGACCTGCAATGCGAGCGTTGCCTGGGGGAGTTGTAAGTCATTGTCAACATTGTAACGGGGCGAAAGACATACCAATGTTGGCTCTGTCAATGAAGCAGAAGAGGTAAAGCAGGGCGACCGTCGGCACAATCATGAGATCGATCTTGAGTCTAAGCTTTCTCTCTACGGTTGGGTCGTACGCCAGAGACTGCTCTGTGTGCCTGACGATAAAATGTCAACCAGGTCCCTGGGTAGTAGTGCGCTGTATGTGTCTTACTTCTCTGGGTCAAGCTTCGCGTCGTACGAGGACCTTTGCGCCATCTTGGCGTTGATGTCGTCGATGTTCTCGACGGTGGGCTTATCGTTACTCATGATGAAAGGAGAACGCGGTGCGTCGCTCAGCCGAATGCCTTTGTGGGCGAAATGTCGACTTCGGCGTGGTATCGAAGAGGTGACCTGGGGTAGGAAAGACTCTAGAATCTGGCAGGGGATGAAGGACCCTTTTCAATGTCGAGACGACTGACTCAACAAAACACTGTCTCAAGGGGGCCAGCTGGAAATCCCGTAGGCTGGTCCAGGCTGGCGAGATAGATATCTCATTAGCGACCCTTGTCTTTCCCCCTTGACCCAGATTGGGGGTGGAGGCGTGGCACCTAGCTACCCCAGACGGGTTATCCCACACACCAAACAACGCGGGGTAGACATCCACCAGAGCGGACGCCTCTTTTCACATCCAATCTGCATCGGGTGCGAGTTCGGGAAACGGCACCAAGCCAGCACCAAGCACCACTTGCAGCACCGCGGCCCATGTTATCGGATCCATTCCACTCCCACATCGGGGGACATGCCAGCCAGTGAGGAAGATGCGCACTCTGATGACGTGTTGAGATGGTAATTTGGGTCTGCTACGACCGTTGCAACGATGCCAGTCTCAGGGATGGCGAACAAGCAACAATGGTGCAAGATTGGCGATGTGATGAGATGGATGTATGTTTACGCGCTGCAGCAGCTGCTCCTTCGAGGTTACTGCAGCAGCAGACACGAATATTTGACCGAGTCTTCTCTTGCAGCCGTGCCGATAAGCAGATGCCAGAACTGCAGCTTCCCGAATAGAGCATCACATTGCGCCAGCTTCTGTGCCTCTCCCTCTCCAGACTCGTCGACAACGGCTTTGGTCGCAAGCAGCCCTTGTCCAGCCTTCCATGTCGACTAGGCTCAACTCGGCGTAACTGGGGAGGAATGCAGATCACGCTCCATTCCCGACACGTTTCGGGAGTGAATTTCGGCACTCCTAGTCGGCAACCAGAGCATGAGCTTAGATTACAGGCCGCGGACTTTAGATTCGGGCTTGCATTTAGACGGGAGAGAAACCTCACCGGGCACAGTTGCAGCTGCCGTTCGTGCGTGCGTGCGTGCGTGGGGCGGATGCGAACTAGGTAGCTGGACCTTGTCAAGAACGGCGTTTGAGCGCCGCATCATATATCAGATGCAAGACCTCCGGAAAGCCGATTGGAAGATGTCGCGAATGGTTGAGTTGGTTTTCCCGTGAACGCGCGCGGCTTCATCCGCTATTGCGACGTGCCAACCTTGGAGTCGTGGTGATGGAACTCAAATTGGGGTCCGGCGGAGTTTAGTCGACGTCTAGTCGTCCATGGTTGTGAATAGGCTGGGTCACCACGTTGCTGTCCCCTACCCCTCTCGCTTTCGACAGGTCGACCCCCAACTTCCAATTCTCCAACTTTGCTTTTGGTGTTCGGATGCTGTGGCCAGCTGATCTTTGGCTTGTTGAGGCGTTTTGCTGACTTCTGCTTGCAGTGAAGACCGCTCAGAAATCCGGGATATCCGCTCCTCGGAAAGTCCGCCAGATCATATTCATTCCTAAATCCGCAACAGGTCAATAGATTGTTGAGTATTCCGCTAGCTCGGAACCACCGGTGGTATAAGAAGGCGCCAAATTCCTCATTGCGATGGCGTCCTTTTTCATCGGATCTGGATTCATCGACTATCGGAAAGGGGGTTCGGAAGTCCTCTCTTTGCGACTTGGCCTGGCGGGGTTGGTGCTCTGCGCCGTACGGAAAGCGTCCACGGCTTGTGTCAACGGGTTCCGAGCTGACAAGGCAGACCATGGGCGTCTTCTCTTGGCAAATGAAATGCCTCATCTTGTTCCACGGGGGTGGTCATTTTTGGCGCCATCCGAGCGAACAACTGTTGTTGTCCTTGGCGGCTTCGGCGAACTCTTGCCCAAATGGTCATTGACCCAGCAAAGCAATGTCGTTAATCAAGACCGATGATTGCCCACGATCGAGACCCCATTCTGCCATGATATTTGATGGGGGGAGCTGATCCGGGGATGGAAAGGGGCACATCCGAAGCCCAGAACCTGGAGAAGCGGGAAAAGCTAAGCTTAACGTCGATAGCGTCAAATCCCGCCAGACTGGGCCGTGGCTGTACTCCGTACATGGTCCCACGCGAGATGGCGTGGATTGATCGCTTGGAGACACACTGAACGCATCGACTAAGGCGGCTCGTGTGTTCCTTGAGGCTTCATAATGCATTGATTTCCGGAGATGTGGTCGCCCAAGCGGTTGGGCGAGGGCTGCTGGTGAATATCTACCACACCCATGGTTTCTTTGCCCAACGTGCTGTGCTTGACTCGAGATGGTTGGTGCTGGGTGCCCTGGCTATGGGAGGAAACGGTTTGATCGAAGTTTCTTTGAGAGGTTTAGTTTGAGAAAGCAACAACCAGGTAATGGCCCCTTCGAGCGGCAGTCCGGTCTAGAATCCGCGGTCGATCTGGGGAGTTCCCAGAAGTTGATACACAGTATGATGGAAACGAACGATAGCAATGGAGTCGTGGGTTCGTGGTTAATGGGTTGAGAACTTTGAGAGGGGAGGCATCGCCTGAGCTTCCTCTGTATGGACCAATAGAATTCCAGTCTCGAGTACGTACCGGAGGATCGACTTGATTGGGCAAATGGGACCCATCATGGCGGGACTCGCACGTGTATCTTCTTATCTTATCTCTCTGATGATATAAGCAGATACGTGTCGGAGCAGATAACACACCTCACCTCTGAGTCGAGGGAAGGAGCAGACAGCAAAATACGTATCTACGGAGTTCGCAATGGTTGGACCCGAAGGACAACTCGACGAAACCTGACACGACATTCTTTTTCCAAACCACATCGCACAAAGCTGCCTCGCCTCGTTCGATTCTCGTATGCCATCGAGTCAGCCTCACCTACGCCGCTGTGTGAAGTTCCGACAACATTTACTCTGCCTCCAACAGGTAGAGGGCAAGCAAAACTGTAATTTGACAAACAATAGCCCGCGCACAAAGAGAACAATGCCAAAATCACAAGCGCAAACTACAAATGCTCCCCCGGAATGGGGACACCCCGGTTCCCAACGTCCCTCAACGGCCAATAGGGCCGCCATCGGGCACCCAAGTCGCTTCGACAGTGGAGAATTACAATTCTCCCAAGGCTTCAGAGTCCAAGGGCCCCTCTCACACATCCACCACGGCTCACGATTCGCGACTCTCATAGCCCACACCGGGACGCCTTATCACTGCCGTAGTGCCCCAGACCAGACGGCGGCTGGTTGGGCAATGGGCACACAGCGTCTAGAGTGCAGACCGCACCAATATTTGGTACCCGACGTCATCGAGCAGGGTGGCGGTCAACTCGAACCCCCACAGAGACAAAGCTGAGCAAGGCAATTTGGCGCAGCGAGTCGCAGCATAAGCACAGTGACGGCAGAGAAGCCCGCCAGTTTCCAACTGTGTTCTGCGGAAGAGGAAGCGCAAGGCAAGGCCCGAGGCGGGAGCGAACGCAATGCCAAAGGGCAGACGAGACGAAAGAACGAGACACTTGACAGCGAAAAAGAGTTTTGGAAGTTTCCAACGTCGGCCCATCCCACTATTACGCCGCCCGGACGGCAATTAACCTCTTTTTCCACCCACCCATCCGACTGTCTGGCATCCCCCATCCTCTCCATTTCCCGTCGATCCGTTCAAGCCCAACGACGGGACCGCGGTCCATGGATGATGGGACACCCATAGCGGGCTCCAAGGCTCCGTACGGGGATCCCGCTGTGCGCAGGCTGGCAGATCTGGCCCGGAATGGAGTCCTGGACTCACTCCTGGCTGCGCTTTTCCAAATAGGCGCCCCGTCGATGGCTGCCCAAGCGGCGACGTCAGGTTCGAGAGGGCACAAAAGCGGACTGGGCCACTGAGGCTAAAGGCCGCGTTGGACCGGGTCTGGAATGGTCAGATGGGCAGAATCGCAGCGAAAAGCAACGACGCAGGCCTCGGGAAGGGCTTTCTACAAGGAGTAGCCTTGTTGCCACAGCCCTCTAGTCCCCCGCCAGGTTTGGACGACGGATGCGATGACCGATACGGCGCTGATGGCCCTCGTTAAGGACCGACAATCACTGTCGCTCCTCACGCAAAATGCCATGCTGCGGTCAACAGCCTGTCCAACAATGAAACAGGCTTTGGATATCGAGTTCGGATGCACTTTTGCATCCCTATTGGTGTTTCTTGCATCAGGCGGGAGAGCTGCGGGCCATCCGTCCGTCGCATAGCTAACAACAGCCATCTTCTCCCTACCAGACCGTTGGACCATCCAGAGAAGGCCAGATCAAGCTGGGATCATCGCTCAAGCAGCATCGCCAACACCACCATCTTCCTCGTTCAGTCTGACGAACCAAGCCAACCCTGTCCTGGCTTCCGTCCGTCGTTCCAAGAAGCCTGCTTTTCCACTCCACCACAAATCTCCGTGTCGTGTCCAAGACTAAAACTACAAAACCGCCTCGTTTCTTCCCAGCCACCACCTTTTCGTCTGTCTGTTCTCTTTTCGCAAGGACCCTTAAAAACGACACAACTCACGGCTTGGACCAGTGCGACTGCCCGCATCGCATTTCGCAGCTCCGGTGGTTCGGCAAGAACAGTTCAGTCCCAGGATCGTTGTTGGGGAGTGTCGAGTAGACGGAGGACCATTATCGGGTCTACTGTCACAGGCCCATTTTCGTGAGGTCAGCTGGTAGAGTTCCAGGTTGCTTCCTGGCTTCACATTGCCTTCTCATAGGCCGATTACCACCCACGCCTACCACCACACACGACACATACAAGAGAGTCTAGAACACCGAGTCCAGTCACTTGTCGAGTTCAGTCCGGCTTCCCATCACATCACTCGTCTTTTGCCCACTACCAAACATCAGTCAGCCAAACGACAAAGAGGGGTTCATCGCCTGCCTCACTCACTCACTCACTCACCCACTCATCATCGCCGCAGACACTGCGCACCTTACACCATACACTGTCAGTGTTACAGTGTCACATACCAGTCTCATAAACCCTGGAAGAAGCCACTCGCACGCCACTCCAACGCAGGGCGGCGCCGCTACTCCATTATCCAATCCAAATTCCAAAATAGCCCACTGGACCCAAGGCGGGTCAACGGCCTTCACCGACACTACCGGCGCTATTGGCCTGGGTTCGCATACCTTACGTTAGGGGGCCAGCCAGCCATCCACCACTCACTCGCTCGCTCTCTGCTGCGACACTGGATCATACACATTATTCCCGCTTTTCCCCTCTTTCTTCGCTCTCTTCTGTCCCTCTCTCCCTAGAGGTGTCGTCATCGCCCTGATTCTCGACTCTTGCAATACGAGCGACTTCTCTCGAGATTCACAACCACGAACTCCTGTCACCACCCGATCATTCCACAATTTCCCGGGAACAACCCATCACCTGTGACATCCCGGATCCCTAATTTCACGACCACTGCTATTTTTTAGCAATATTTTGTGATACCCGAGAACGACTTTACTTTCATTTCCAACCACACATACGTTAACCATCAATCAAAATGGCCGGCCGTGCTGAGCGCTGGGACCGCGACCGCTTCATGCAAGAACGGGAGCGAGACCGCTATCCAGATGATCGTCGCTATCCCGACGAACGAAGCAGATTTGAGGAGAGAAGCCGCTTCGAGGAACGTGACGACTATCGCCCACCGCCTCGCCGCGGCAGAGATCACTCAGATGAGCGCTTCGACCGTGGCCCATTTGACCGCGGACACCGCGGTGGATACGAAGAGGATTTTGTAAGAGACCGCCGCTACGTCGAAGAAGACCGTTATGGTCCTCGTCGTGGAGAGCCTCTCGACAGGGAGTTTGACCGTCGCCTTTTCTTTGAAAAAGAGCAACGAGAAGTCCGTGAGGCCTCGCCACCACGCCGCCCGACCATGCTCCGTCGTCAGTCTTCCCTCGACACTTTTGACCGTCGTCCCCTCCGCTTTTATGAGCGTGAGGAATACCCCCCGCCAGCCCGCCGAGAAGATGTTCGCCCTCGCGACGATTACCGGGCTCCTCCATACGTTCCAATCCCTCTGCCCCGCACCCGCCAGCTGGGCCCCGCACCATCTCAACGATACGACGAGATCCAGATCGCCGAGCCAGGCTACTATGGCGACGAGGAGTTCCGTGGCATGCCTGAGCGGGTGAAGGAGCGTGAGGTCGTTACTTCACGTCGGCGTAGAGATCGCAGCCGAGAGTCTAGGGTGTCAAGGTCAACCAGAAAGAGCTCGCACCGAAGCAGCTCCCGATCAAGCAGCACCTCCAGCAGGTCGACCAGCACCACAACCAAGACCGCGACGACTGTTCGCAGCTCATACCCGAAGAAGGGCAAGACCCGCATCCCGCAACGCCTGGTTTCTAAGCGTGCGCTCATCGACCTGGAGTATCCTTACATTGAAGAGGCAAGTTTCGAGTCAACCGAGTGCGCCAACCTTAGACTAACAGATTTCCCAGGGTAACACCATCATCGTGCTCAAGGCTCTTGGCCAGGATAACATCGATGAACTCCTGAAGCTCAGCGAGGAGTACAAGCAGAGTAAGTGATTCCATGTGTATTTAGTCATTCGACTGCCGCTAACTTGATGCTAGGTGAATTGGAGATTGCCGCAGCTCGGTCATCGGCCGGCAAGCACGAAGAACGCCACGAGGAGATCTACACCATCCCTCCACCGGTTGCTGCCCTTCCCCCGCCGCCCCCGACTGTCATCCATGTCCCTCCTCCTCCACCAGCGCCTGCTTCAGTGGCGCCGCCTCCCGCGCCCCCAACCGTCGTTTCTGCTCATCCTCCGGCTCCCCCATCCGTCTACTATGAGGCGCCTCCACCACCACCTCCCGCTCCCGTTCAAGAGGTGGTCAACAAGACTACCATCATCCGCGATGTCTCTCCCGCTCGCAGCTCCACATCCTACACAACATCGACGACCGCAACACCAGTCGTCTACGAGCGCAGAGAGTACAGCGAAGAGGTGCCCATCGGACCCATGGCAGTCGCTGAGCGTCGCCGTAGCCGGTCTCGGTCTCGCAAAAACATCAGATCCGAGATCAAGGCTCTCGAGGCTGAGCTTCACGAGCGCAAGCACGGAAGGAGCCGTGAACTCGTCCGTGCTGAACAGATGCCCGATGGCGCTGTAGTCCTCTTCGAGGAGAAGGTCGAGAAGGTTGAGGAGCCGCGGCGCGGAGTGCGAATTGAGAAGGACAAGAAAGGTAGGATGGCCATCAGCGTACCAAAGTACTACTAAGGTACGCTTCGTCACCGTCTCGTCGAGTCAGAGCCCAGGCTAACGCGAGAGTTCCCAGGTCCTCCTCCTGGAATCATGCGCGCTATGCTGGCAACTCTCACGTAAGGGTACTGTGCTGGCTAGGCGCATGACTTGTTGTTCAGTACGAATTTGAATGTACAGAAGGCGATTTACAGACCTCGTACCTTACGAGATGGACTTTGTTGCATTGGTTTTCAGCACGGCCCTGGGCTTTTTCGGATGGTCTAACCATTATTATTCCCAATAGAAAAAAAAAAGGAACCCGTTGGTTTTGCGATCCTTGGAAGGGATCTGCATACATGTATGGATGGGATTGGCAACCCGATAGTCTCGCATGCCGAGTTCAGGTTTACGGACATGGTGTATTGCCTCCACATACTGGACGGCTCGCCGGTATACTTTTTTTGGTTAGATGGCGCAGGTTACGAATTTATGACTTCTATTTGATACGTTGGGCTATCGAACATGCCGTCTCGTCTCCTTTTAAGCCTCGCCATGTTAATCCGTTTGTTGATGTAATTTACATTATTGCCTTCTGATGGCTATTGTTACTTGTGCTGAAAAAAGCACCGGCAAGAAATTAAACACACTTTGTGTGAACCAGATATGAAATCGCGAAGGTCCGTCAAGACGGAAGAAAACACCCTAAGGCTCTCGAGAACTACCTCCCCTTTCTCGGATTGAAGTATACAATAAGCGATCCAGCTCATGCGCAAAAAACGTCTTAAAACAGCTGAATCATTTCCACAACCCCGAACCCAACCTCCTCCCCCAGAAACTTTCCAGAAACATTAACGTACCCAGCGTAGACAGTGTCGCTTAACTGCTGGGACCCATAAATCTCTTGGTCCTCTCTAATCGACTTGATGTCAAGCACATCTCCATTCTCAAAGGTGATTTCCCAGTGCTGGGGGTACGTGATGTTAGATTTCGGGGACGTCCAACCGCCGCAGCCCCGTGTCTCCATGTCGAATGGCAGGACGTACTGCGATTCCTCGCCCACGCGGGCCGTAGCAAATTGGTACAGCTGGTAAGACGGCGCACCGAAGTCATAGGACCAGATACTTGCTTTTGTGGAAGAGTTGGGGAAGTGGAGCTGGAACCAGGTCCATTTCTGGGGTGCACCGGCGCCCTTTTGGTGGTCGTACCAGATCATTGACTTGGAGGAATCAATCTCGAGAGTTTCGTTGCTGTTACCAATGGTGAGGGTGCCGTAGGTTTTGCTAGCGGGAATAGACCACTCCGTGGAATTGGCGAAGCCCGGGCCGAAAGTGAAGGCACCGTTGCCGCCGTTGAGGAGGACTTTGGAGGTGCTTTGCCAGGTGAGGTTGTATGCGTAGTCTGGGGTCGAGCCGGTGGTGTACATTTCTGAGATGAGGTCTGCTGAGGTGGAGCCTAGGGCGCAAACTCCATTTCCGGCAGAGATTTGAAAGCCGGTGCCTGTAGAGAGAGAGGCGGCTGCATTTTGGGAAGTGCTGGCGGAAGAGTTCTGGGAGGTTGCCCCATATTCGAGATGGTTCTTGTACTCGAGGGTGTCGAGGTTCAGGAGGGAGGACTTGCAGATTGGACCGAGGATGTGGGAGAGGGCGAGGTATTGGGTTCCTGTGGTTGTTGTGAGGAAGGCGGATGTCCAGTAAGAGCCGCTTGTTTGGTCGACGGTTAGGTTGTAGAGGGATGGGACGCGAGTCTTGAGGTCCCTTGTCAGCACATGGTTTCTTTCGTAACAGATAAGAGAGGAAGGCGAACGTTGAGATACGTCGAGTGGTTGTCTGGGCTGAAGAGCTCAGAGGCGCAACCGCTGGCGAGGACGGAAAAAACTAGCAGCCAAGACATTTTGAGGTGGTTTGTAAAAGGTAGCGGTGGCAAAGAATTCCTTCAACGGTATCAAAGTGATCTTGATTTTCAATGGCTTCATACAATTATTTCCCAGATCGTCTTAACGTTCCTCTTATATCACGAGAATACTTTCTCAGCCACATTTCATCATGCTCCAATGAACCAATGCCTCCGGATCTCCTGGACGCTCCGGCTCTTAATTACCGCCGAGCATGACGACCGGAGCGAGGCGCGAAGGTGGGGACCCGGGCGGAGCTCTCGGGGCGGATCATGAGAAGATGCCTGGCCAGCTGGAATTTCATTTCACTAGCGGCCATTGCGTCCTTGTAGTGGTGGGGCGCAGCAGGACCTTCAATGGTACAATTAGAGAGTCTAGGACAAATCAAGAAGTAGTCCCAATTGCAGATGCATAGAGGCTGTGATCGTGGTGCAAAGTAAGTTGGCTGGCGGGCCAGAAGCATGTGGAATGACACAACAGACATTTCCCGTCAGCCCATGAAGTAATCTATCGTCGGGCAAAAGGTGGTGCGTCCAGTCCAGAATAAACACAAAGGGAGCAAGTATAAGTGATCGTCACTGTAGAAGTCAGCCAAAGAGCCAGTGGGAAGTTTCGCCAGACAAGGACCTGGTTCATCTGTATAGTCTTGACCCATCGAAGTCAGATCTGAGCTGCGGTTGCCAATGCCACGGGGAACCACTTGTATCTACCGCAGCCTGATCTCTAAATCGTCGGGCCTCTCGCAAGCTAACTTTCAGCCTCTGACAGCCTGTCGACCGGTTCGTCCCTATCATGAATCACAGAAAATCCTTGTCAAAACAGGGACTTAAAAGCAGGTTGATGTTCGACTACTGAAGCAATTTGAAGGCAGGGTGACGCGTATTCTCAGCTAGCAAAGGCTCCCTCAAACCCATTGCGATGTGGTTGGTGTTTTCCAGCCCTGTTCAAACAGATCGTAATACGCTCCAGATGTGAGAAGTTGGTCTATTGATAAACTAATGCGTCGTCATCCAGATCATGGCTGAGTATACGAATATCATAACTGAGTCAAGATCTCCATGGCGACGTTTCGAAGAGAACGTGAAGGTTCAAGATATCGGTGGATGGGGAGAACGCGGAAGGGCGGCTTACCCCTGTCGATCTCGTATGCTTACTTTGACACCGGCTCGGCAACTATGTAAGGCCCGCAAGTTTGGACGTCCCAAATTCTAAACTCCCCGAACTACATTTTCCCCGGGAACACTAAGAGCGGATTGGGAAATTGGAACCCGAGCACTGCCTCAACACCAACCTCTGATGTTGTTAATCATACAGGGCGTTGCATCAGAAACACCATGTATAGCTCAGCCAGTGCGTAACAGTAGAGCCCGATATCAAAACATGGCTGGCTTTTTATAACGTGAATGGCGGATCTTTCAGTTGCACGAGGAAGTCCAAAATCAGCTGAAAGAAATTGCACACACATCTTACCTACATATCCAGCAGAGAAGGACAAGCGCAACAATGGACGGACCGCCTTCCAAATATCCTTATGATCCTTCTCTCGCGGCAGCAGTCACCTTTGCCGTGTTGTTCGGCATCAGTGGTGTAATACACTCCTTCCAGCTGAAGCGGGCGAAGACTTGGTATTGGATCGCCTTCTTCATAGGTGTCAACTGTAAGAAGCCATCTAAACCAATGATTTCTTCGGAACTATCATAGTAAATTGCATTGCTGAACTGTTGCATAGTCGAAAGCATCGGATATGGAGCCCGAGCCATGAACGCATCCGAGACACCAAATTGGTCACAAGTCCCGTTTATTATTCAGACTCTTCTACCGTTGCTTGCCCCGGCACTGTACGCGGCCTCGATCTATATGCTTCTGGGCCGTACTATCGACTCATTGGAAGCGGGCCATCTATCAATTATTCCCGTTAGATGGCTGACGAAGATCTTCGTCTTCGGAGACGTGTTCTCGTTCGCCTTCCAGTGCATTGGTAAGCCCAATCTCCATTACTGTCACCTGTGAGGTTAGCAGAAAAACTGACATATTCTTCGACAGGTGGAGGTATTCTCTCCGGCGCAAGTGACAAAGACGGCCTCGACCGCGGCCAAAACGTCATCCTCGTCGGTCTCGGCATCCAAATCCTCTTCTTCGCAGCCTTCATCGTCACCATCTCCGTCTTCCACTCCCGAATCATCAACTACCCGACGACAATGAGCATGAATGGGCGACGACCGTGGAGGCAGTTCATCATGGTTCTCTACGCCACCTCGTTCCTCATCTTGGTGCGGTCGATTTTCCGGGTGGCCGAGTTTGCTGAGGGGCGAGACGGCGTGCTTCAGACTACAGAGGTGTATCTGTACTGTCTTGACACATCGCTCATGTTCCTCTGCGCTGCAGCTTTTAATGTTTGGTTTCCGGGGCGTATCGTTTCGCCTATCACTTTTAAGGATGAGGAGAGGTTTCCTCTCGGGGCTGTATCGAATCAGGATGATGATGGGGTGTTTAGAATTCGGAGGTAGACTACAGTCTAAAGCCTGGAGCTTTTGAAAATGGTGGATGTCATCGATGGTATCTAAAGCCTCCAATGCTCAGCCAAGTCCATGATTTGGAAAGAGCTTGAGAAAATCTGCCGCATAATTGTGAAGGCATTCGGCGTGTACCTATCATTCAGCTAATTACCAAACGGGCCTCCATTGAAATCTAAAGCTACGTCTTAGTTTGGCAAAATCTCCATGCCTCGTCCTTAGAGCCATCAACAGGGACTACCTGCACAGTAGTACTCTCCGCCACTTGGTTCATTTTGTTTAGCGTATACAAGCCTCCATGCCTTTTGGCAAGATCAGCGTCAAGTCCGTTGAACAAGAGCGCCAGTGGTGATGATTTCCAGGCCATGTATTGCTGTCCGTCAGGGCTAGAACGTCGGCTCGCGAGCACCAGAGCGCAGAATGTCCACTGAAGCACTAGGAGTGCAACCGGGTATACGACCCAGAGCCAATGTACGTAGACGCATGTGTCGGCGACAAGAGTTGCACCCACCGCTGCTCTTAGGCCTGGGAAGAGTTCATCTATACGCTGATCGTCGAGGTCGTCGTATGGTTTGTTGCGCATGCCCGCCGTCATCGAGTTTGCCAAGCCACAGGCCATGTTATCGACCGTGGAGAGATTACCAGCGGCTTGTGCGTAGACTTGTTTCAACCAGGTTGGGCCGGTTATTATTCCAGGTTCACCATCCAACATGCTGTCTGTGACGTTGTTCTACAAGATGTCCTGCAACGTGGAGTGGATCGCTCTCCAGGAGCGTGCGTCTCTTCGCCAGACACACTCCTGCGGTGTTGATTTCCAAATGACGTTGTTCATCCTGCCAAAAGCCCTGTCTCCTTCGCGTTCGAAAATACGACTCGCAGACGACAGCTGGAATGGATCACCGTCAACTGACTCAACTTGAACTGTTTGAGGCGACCAACGCTCTCTTTCCACATACGACCTTTCCTCGCCGTTGATTAGGCTAGGGTTGGCCACAAGGGTCCAGCCTTCCTGCCATGTCAGAATCTCGTTCGCATTTGGACGCTCTGTTTCTTGATAAACTCCATTTTGGACTCTGCCATGGTAACGCTTGACACATGCATCTAGCCTGCATCGAACGGCAAGTGCTGAAGTATTTGCTTCATTTGCGCAGGTCTCATCCAGATGGTTGCAGGGGGGATCAATGACCGTCAAAACATCGAAACTATAGAAAGCTCTGAATGACACTTTGTCTTTATCAAAGATGCCCGGTGTGGTCAAAGGCGACAAGTTTGGACTGTCCCATGGACTAGAAACCTCAGGAATCGATGATGGCACGGTGTAATTGTAATCGTAAGACAACCGCCATGTGTAAAAAGTGGCTTCTGGCTCCTCTTGAACTTTGGTCACTCGGTCCGTAATGTCTTGGCAGGAGTGACAAATGGCTAAAGATGAGAACTGACTGCCGTTGTCCTCGTTTCCAAAGGTGCAGTTGCCTGTAGCGCATTTGAAGTTAATCAAGGAAGCCAACTCTTGAGAATCAGCGAGTCCTTTAACGATATCGGAGTCCATCGAACCAGCTTTATAGTATTTCGCTCGCGGTATCTCTGCTATGATGCCGTTGACCGAATCTGCGGCTCGACTGCATCCCTTATGTTCGATCATGGCTTGAGAAATGGGATCGATGGCGAGTGCGGCTATGGTGATCAAGGCACCAAGCCCTGCCAAATATCTTCGAGAAAAGTTAGTAAGCTGGCCAGTATATGACAGAAAGCTCAAGATAGGAGCTCACGGTTTTGGTGTTTGTGGTATTTTCTTGGTGATCAGTAGTAAGGAGCCCCATGGACCACGCGTAGCATCGTCGAAAGCAAACACATCGGCTAACTTCTGTGGGCGTTGAAACCAATCCCATTTCAGCTGACCCAGGCCTGTTGTCTATCTTCTTGTCAGCACAAAAAGACTATTTAATGACCTGGAAGGGCCGTCACTATGACACACCTTGGGCAACAGGCATTATGAGAGATGCCTTGTAAAGTGCAGTAAAGGTAGCTATCAAGGTATTGACCGAAATCACACCTGGCCACTTGGGCAAGGGCTTGCTCTGATGAAGCACTATGATCATGATGGTTGCTAGAACGCAACCGAGAGCGAGCAAACTGCTCAATATCTCCAAGCGCCATATTTGCCATATGGTTTGGTTCGTGTCGGTGGTTTGTTAGCTTGACTCGTCTGTACCCCAATCGTACTTTTTGGGTTGCCGCAGGTGTGAAGATTGCGCCATTGTACTTCCAGCTGAGAGTGAAGGCCTCTGTCCTACCGGAGAAGCGTGCCCTTCATCGTTAAACCTTGTAGCAGCTGCAAACTCTACGGCAGCCGATGAGCTTGTACGTATGGAACCCTCCCACTCAGATGCCGCCGTAGTCAGCAAACTACTACTAAGTTCGTTCGATGTTATATCGGCGCTGATGTAGAACGTTCGCGCAGGAGGATGACGACGTTCATCTCGAATGTGGAGAGGAGATGCGTCGCTGGAGTCATGGTGTGGTGTTTGATCCATCCTCGCCCGTGTTGCCTGGAACTTCGATATCTACGGATGGTCATATTCTTCTCCTTCGTGGACCTCTACCATTCGCGGCGGCTTTACGTGCATGTTTTCGTTCTCATATAGTAATGCCTTGCTGTATCCGCCCTCGGGCACCATTGTCGTTGTTGTCTCTCTCTTGTCTGCCTTGTGCTACTGTTTTGATGTTGTTCAACATACTAGTTTCTGACTGTCGGAGACCAAGGTGCTTCAATGGCTGTGATTCAAAAAAAAAAAAAAAGTGCATATCTGAGGTGACGTCTGTGGTGGCCCTGTGCAACGTACGGCGAGTCTCAAGGCTAAGGACGTCAATGGCATCGTCAGGCTCTGATGTGGGCTCAGACAGAGAAATCACAAATGAGCTACTTCGTCCGTGTTCAGTAGGTCTGGACCAGCCCCTCCCCCCCTTAGACCCAGTGGTTCATTTCAGCCTTGATCGTCCCCCGAGGTACATAGCACAGCGCAGTAAGAGCTTACCTTGGCATCTCCTCCTCGGCCGTACCATTGGTTCCTTATGCATGGCCAGTATACCGAGGCTATGAGATTCCAGTCGTATTGGCATGCATGATGAGCGCAAAGCTTTTGAATTCTCGACTGCAATAATCGATCTAGCCGTAGCTTTGTGGCCAACAACTATTTATTACCTTTGCATCCTCAAATGTAAAGGTGCAGTATTGTACAAAGGCGTGAGACCCCGCCTTAGGACATCGAAAATACTATTCGATGGTTTTAGATTCGAGGCCAAGCCATAGATGTATCTGAGTTATACCCACATCAATTTGCCAACCTTCGAACGAAACTTTCCTGAGTTATGCAAATGATCTCAATCGGTAGGACTCATGAGGTAGTCCACCAGCACAATGCCATTTGGGACGTCTCGCTTCTTACAAGAATCCGGGGACCCGTATTTCGCTCTTTATTAAAAGCCGAAACCCCATGGTGCGCTGTGCCCACACAGCACGAGCACTACCCGAAATCGCACACAGGATGCTCGCTTTCGTTGATTGGGATACTGACAATGTTGCCTAAATGATGCAGATTCTCACTTATAACGGCTTGATGCCATAACTTGTCTGCGATGAATGCCATACTCTCTCAGCAGACTCAAAAGATCTCTCTAACCATTCACTACGTGTTGAGGCTAGACGGGTTTCATCGTCACATGCACCCCTCGCAAGTACGAACAAGTTCTCGCGCTCTCCTCAACCCGGACCGTTTGATGGTCCGAACCATGTTTCCTTGCAAACCATCTGGTCAGAGATGTTAAAGGCTCTCCTGCGGCAAGTTGTATGCGCTTGCGATAGGCTTCGACCACATCCTCCAAGACTTCTCAAGTAGCGTCATCGACATAGCTGGAAGACATCGATTTCCTACTGTGGAAACCTCATCGCGTCTCGAATCAATCCACAGACGTATTAAGCTAATAGGAATGAGGCAAATGGGACGCCTTGTACCCTGCACCAGGCCTGTTGTAAGTTAAGTTGAAGGGTCTATTTTCGAACTGACTTTTCCGAAATCTTAACCCCGAGTGGCCTTTAGAGTTGAGATTACCACCTGATCGGTACACTACAGTAACCGTACGATTCAGTTGATTGCGTACGCTCCCACTATACAATGGTGCATGTGGCTTAGTGCCCGGTGCTCAGCCCGGGCCTGTGTCACTAGTAGATCCTTGCTGACAATGCCATAAAGGGATGGACGCCCTACACCATTTAACCAATGCATAAAACTCCGTCTAGGGACGAGCTTAAAGAATGGTGACATCCTCTGTCCCACCTTTTGGTTCGCGATGCTCTGGAGGCCGCCGATGCCATCGACAAGCTACATGTACTTACATCTAACCGTCTGACAGCCTTGGGTAGTAGCTTGTGCTATTTTATTGCTCAAAGCCCGGCATGGAGTCGGCAACTGCTGAGGCACCGCCGGTTCCACGCAAGCCAGCATGCGTCCTTTGCAAATCGCGGAAAGTCAAGTGCGATCGTGAGAGTCCGGCGTGCGGAGGCTGTGTCAAGGTAAGTGATCCTTGACAGCACTCTTCCCTCAAAGAAACTTTTTTGAAGATCTAACAGCAAGTCATTGGTGATGTAGCTAGGCGCAGAATGTGTACCACGCGAGAACTCAAAGACCCGGAACCGGAAGAAGCCCAATGTTGAACTTCAGCGAAGACTGGCGCGATGCGAGGAATTACTTCAACAGTTCGTGTCTGCAGAAAAGCGCGAGAAGAGTAGCGACGGTACTCGCACGGAGCCTAGTCCGAAAAGCGACACGAGTACGAAGAGTGAGAGTGAGGATCTTTGGAGCCGGGATCGCGAAATGCAAGCGCTTGAGAACTCCCTTGGAAAGCTCGTTATCGACAAAGGGTCTGTCAGGTTTACTGATAGTACCCCTTGGGCCACGGTTTTCGATGAGGTAAAAGCCTTGTTGATGGCCCTTTGACGCCAGACTCTCTCGCCAGCCAGATTTCTGACAATATGCCTCTCTTCATGTAGTTACAAGCCATCAGAGCAGTCGTGGAGGACGCCGACAGTCCTGCGAGCCTACCGAGCCTACCCGAAACGACAATTCAACAAGCGTCCATTGCAAGCGAGGCAAACATTACAGACGTCAAAGAGACCAATGCCTGCAACCCGCAACATCTACATCCGCCTCCGAGTCATGCTATGCTACTATGGCGGATGTTTGTAGATCGAGTCAACCCAATAACGAAACTCATACATGTGCCGTCCACGCAACGTCATCTAGTCCAGGCGATGGCGACTCCGCCATCTTTGCCACGAGACTTGGAAGTTTTGTTCTTCTCGATCTATGCGTGTGCTGTTGGTTCGATGAGGCCGGAAGAATGCGCAAGGTTACTGGGTCAGTCGAAAATGGAGCTGCTGGATCGGTTCTCGAAGACCTTACGAAAGGGGCTGTATCGTGCGCGCTTCTTGGAGAAGCCCACCTTTGTGCTCTTGCAAGCACTCGTACTTCAACTGGTACGGAGAACCTCGCGCATTGTTTTGGTCCTCCAAAGTGTCGCATAAATCCATGCCCTCTCACAAGGTTGAACGTCCAGCTAAGTCAAGTTTGTACCAGGTTGCGATTCCGGATCGAGAGAGTGCCCACGCGAATTGGATCATGAGCGGCGTCTGTATTCGAAGTGCCCAGCGTCTAGGGCTTCATCGAGATGGCTCGCAACTGGGGATTTCCCCCTTTCAAACAGAGCTACGAAGACGCGTCTGGTGGAACATTGTCCTACTCGATTTTCGATTCGCCATGGCCTCTGGATTCAACCCAACTCCGCTATCACGCGCTTGCAGCTGCAAAATGCCCACCAACATCAACGACGCCGATTTCGATGTCGATACCGCCACTCCCCTCGATAACAGAGACGCCCCGACTGATATGATTGTCTCTTTGGTGGTTTGCAGCTTGTCACGATGTCTCACTCAGCGAACCAACTTGAGCCATGCCATGTTCGTCGTCGAAAAGAGTGACGTGTCAGACGAGCTTAGTCGACTTCACAGTATCGAGCTGGAAAAGTTTGTCGTGAACTTTGAAGAGTTTTTAGAGGATATCGTGAAGCGTTATTGCGATCCGAGTGCAGGGGATCTGCACGTGTTGGCTTTGCAGCTGAAAGCAGCCATGGTCGACAAGATCCGAATCATGGCATGCAAGCCCAAGGGGGCTGTAGAGCCGCCACCCGAGGTGAAAGGGGACATACTGTTTCGTGTCTCACTCGAGGCGGCTGAGCACGTTGCGAACCATCTCCAGGTGATGGAGGGTTGGAACTTTGTGTGGTACATTCTTCAGTATCTCGAGTACGACTTGTTCCTCCACCTGATCAGCCGACTGTGTCTCCAGTCAACGGGCGACTTGGTAGATCGAGCATGGAAGGTGCTGCCCATCATATATCAATACCATGAAGACTATTTCGAAATGTCGGTTCATCCGTATGCCGTCGCAGGAGCGGTCCTTGTCAGGGCGTGGAGACACAGGCAGGAAAGCTTGCTCTCCCAGTTGGGCTACCTGCCCCCGACTCCGGATTATGTTCAAAGAGTTGAACAATGTTTGGCCGCCAATGGCTCAGTCGGCAGTTCTCCTCCCGAGCTGGTGCCTCCTTCAAGAGGGGCTGCGCCAGAGACTGCCAGGTGGGAGGACTCGGAATGGAGATGGAACCCTCAAGGGTTCAGCATAGAAACCTACGATCTTGAGTACATTGCGGGTGAAGATTCATTGACATGGCCTCCGCCTCAGTAACGACATGGTTGGAAGAAGCTGGACAGCAATCGTAAGGAGTCTCAGAGAAGAGGTCGGCAGAGGGTGAGAAGTAGTCTCAAGGTCACTATCTCTCAGCTGCTTTGAGAATAGCGCAAAGCATGATACTCAAAATTTTATGGATAGAGCCATGATCACTCATGGATAGAAGAGACTTATCATCGCTCAATCACATGCCTTCGACTCCTCAGATACCTCACCCAACAAGGACTCTTATCATGGCTGCCTATTGTCACAGCCTACCCGGCCTCCCAACTCGCCCATAATTGATGCTTATAGAGATACCGTACTGAGGCTTGGATCAACTACACAAGCCAATAGGAAAGCCGTTACTCATGAACAAACGACTGACCACTTGAGTCGCATTGTGGATGAGCAAGAACTGGATTATGGAGTGCTTGATCAGGAAATCATGATTCTGGTGGTCTTGCAACTTTGTCGCACCATCCTGGCAAAGCGGAGGGACCTCCTCCGCGCACGTGATATCCAATCTCCTGATCCCTGTCTCGTCCGGTCTCAGGCTGGCCCACCTTCACTCTATTTGTCTTTGCTCTCCACACTTTGATCGACTCGTGGCGGTTTTTGGATGAACGGAAAGAAATCGATGACCCCTGATTACCTCGCTAGACAAGACTTTGAGCCTCAACGTGGCGAGCACCCAGCTGCCGTGCCGGCCGTCCGGCGAGGATTTGGGGAAACATCCCAAAGTGCCGCTTCGGTTACATCGGCAGAGGTCAAGCAAGACTTCCAGCTCGGACAGCGAGGAAGAAGAGACTATGCCCCGCCCATGGAGCAATCCGAGGACCCGGGGGCCTGGGGGTCCCAAGCTTTTTCGCTCCCTTCCGTTAATTGAGGGGCTCCGGGGGCTTAATGGGTCTGGTAAGGTGTAGATTAATTGTCAAGCCCCCTTCGAGGAGCGAGTTTTCCGTCATGACGGGTACGAAAGCGACCATGTTTATATAGGTGTTGCTGGGTTCCCGCCGATCTGCCAATGTCGATCTATCGTCTCCCCGCGTGTCTTTCCATTCTTTCCGACTAAGTCGTTCGTTTTTGAAAACACACTCTTTACTTGATAGGTGCAGGACACAATGAAATCACAGATCTTGACGACCGGCCTCTTGGCTGCTGGGGCGAGCGCTCTTGAGAAGCGTGCCTGTACCGCGACGGCGGAGTGGCCTGGGTTTGCGAACGTCAAGCACGCTTTCGTCTTGTAAGTCTGCAATACTTCTGCATCCTGTCTTGCAGACACGCTAACAGTTACCAGCGGCGACTCGTACTCCCAGACAGGCACGATACTTGGTGACTTTGGATCAGTGTCATCCGGCTAATAGATCACAGGCTTCAACACCTCTCTCGAAGCTCCTAACCCCGCCAACCCTCTCGGAAACCCTTCCTACCCGGGCTGGACCTCCTGCAACGGCCCCAACTGGGTCGACTACCTCACCGTGAAGCACAACGCATCTCTCCTGTACACTTACAACCTCGCATACGGCGGCGCCACCGTCGACGCCGACCTCGTCAAGCCCTACGCCGACACAGTGCTCACCCTCAAGGACCAGGTCCAGACGCTCTTCAACAATGCCTACGCCGCAAAGACAGCCCCTGCCTGGACAGGCGCGGACTCAGTATTCGCCTTTTGGATCGGCGTCAATGATATCGGCAACTCGTACTGGAACGGAGCCGATGCTACCTCTGCGCTCAACACCAAGATCGTGGACGTCTACCAGAGTCTGGCCAAGGAGCTGTATGGGTCGGGCGCGAGGAACTTTGTGTGGTTGACGACGCCGCCTGTCGACCGGACGCCAATGCTCCTTGCCGAGAACGCGGACGCGCAGAAGCTCTGCAAGGATGACGTCGCTGATTTCAATGGCAGGGTCAATGCCATGGCGAAGAATGTCACGACTTGGGAGGGCGCGAACTCGTGGGTTGTTGATGCTAACGGGGTGTTCAACGGTGTGCTTGATAACGTGGCCAAGTTTGACGCTACCAAGGAGTACAAGAACACCACTGGATACTGTGACGCGTACAAGGAGTAAGTCACCCTTGCATTCGAAGAACCTGGCTGGTAAAAGGTGACAAGCTAACTTTTGAACAGCGGAACGACGGCTCAGGACACCCTCATCGACAGCTGTACCTACCCGGTCAACGAGTACTTCTGGCTCAACACGCTGCACCCTACTTACCCCATCCACGATGCGGTTGCCGAGACCGTTGCTTCGGCCCTAGAGGCCGGGCCCAACGTGTGTTAAGGTAGTTGGTGGAGCTTCTGGGTGGTCTGATTGTATCTTCTTGTATTTACTTCCAAGTTCTTGGGACTATGTATAAGCCAAAACGAGCCCCTGTCATTCGTCATTGCACCTGCTTTTAGTGGTGGGGATGATGTCTCGAGGTGTATCATGAATCTTCCCAGACCAGTTGTCTAGGCGAAATGTTGCTATTCCTTGGAGAGGAATGCATGTGAGATCAGATAAGGGAATGTACGAGACCTGAGACCGTTGTGATATCCGTATACCGCAAGGTGTCTAGTGTTTGGGAAGGTGAAGGCGACTATAAGTCACAGTCAACTACCTTACACAGCATCAGTCATTCCACGTCACGTCGCCCAGGCACCGAAGGCTTCTCACGTTCACTGCAGCAGGCCATGTTTGCCAGAGTGGTTACCCACAGAGAAAAAGCAAGCCTATCACGTTGATCATATCCGTTTCAACGAGGCTTTGCCAGGGGCTGAGCACATTGCCAAGGCGCTATGGCTTAATAGGCTGCAGCATTTCCTGCCCGATCATGATGCCCTCAAATTCGGCAACGAGTTGGGGAAGTGGAATAAATGCTATGTAAACTACCTCATGGAGACTATCAACCTCAGGGGGCCGAATATTGACACGCCCTCTGGGGGCAAGGGACATTGCTTTCCTCGATCACATTGCAAAGCAGTGTGGCATGGTTTCATCAGAGCTGGTCAGTTTCTTGTTTGTCAATGAGCCATCTGTTCAATTTGATACTCGTAGTGATGTACGAAATTTAACAAGTCAGTATCGTCTTTGGAAATGTCAACGCAATTTCATCTGCTATTGGGACTTTTGGGGGAGGCTTCGACCACAAACTCAACGGAAGGAAAGGAAATAAGCTTGAATTAAGCTAGAAAAGAGGCTTGGCTCTAAGCCTACAGCGATCTCAGGCTGGCGAATGACCACAAACCAGACATGGGGAGATAGACAAGGGTGGACAAGCCTTGCAACTACCAGTCACCAGCCCAAGTCAGTGCCTATCCTTTTTCTGCGGCAAATCCCAAGACACCGACTTGTGACGCTGGGAGGCCGGGGTCAATATTGCCATCCATGTAGGTCAAATAACAGCGACCAAGCTGTTTGACTCTCTTGGTGATGAACCCAAGATTTCTCTGGTTGGTGCAGAGCCATTTGTCGCGACCAAGAGAAGTGGCAGAGTGGGAATCGGGCGGAGTGGGTAAAGCTGCAATCGCCCGGGGCTAGTGCGGCACAGCATACGCTAGGCGTCCTTCGCCCGGCCGGGGTGAGACACTTGTACGCGAGAATCCAAAGCGGATGTTAAAGCAGGCTATGCTCGTGAGACCGCTCATTTCTGTTTGACGGCTGGCCATACTTAAGTTACGAGAAGAGGCCGGACTTACTTGTGTTGCCCAGCTCATTCTCCATCCTCTTAGCTTGACAATAACAACAGATTCGATCCAAAAATCCACGAAAACCAGACTCAGGTGCTGCTACAGAAAACCAGAAACACAACGTCTTTTCAAACATGAGTTACTATGATACTCAAATTATCGTGGGGATTGTATACACTGTTGTGAGCGCCCTAGCTGCTGTCGCGGGCTCTGTGTTCTTCATTCTCCTTCTTCGAAAGACATCAAAAAGCTATCATGACCCCACTCGCCGATGGGTGGCTATCACCAAAGCTGCCCTGGGGCTCTGGCTATTGTAAGCACCACAACTCCATCTGTTTGAGGGCGACTAACATCAACATCGTCTCCAGTTCCGAATTCTTCTACGTCATTCTCAACATTATCTCCCTCGCATTCGGAAGCACATATGCATACGACTCCACATTGGCCAAGTTTATCTCATACACCTCGTCCATCCTCTCTTGGTTCTTCGACGTCAGCCAGGCTTTGACTTTCCTGGCACTCTTCTACCTCGCACGCGCATTCACCCTCCTCCGCGTCGACGAGACGTCAAAACGCTTCCGGATAGGGAAGACATTCTCTCTCGGCGCCGTCATCTTGATCTCAGTGCTCAGCTTCACGGCAATGTGCCTGTGGATGAGTACCAGAGATGGTTACTATTCTTGGAGCTATGATAGCAGTGATTACGAGAGGGTGATGACGAGAAGACTGGTGGCTCAGATTTTCGATCTCATTTGTGGCATCTTCAACCTCTTATGCGCTATCGGTGCCATCACGTACATTGCCCTGGTCCGCAAGAACGCCCTCAAGGATCCTCTGCACAAGGTCAGTTCTTGCTTCGTTCTCCACCGTCTCTCAGTATTGGGCGATGCGATTGTAAATTGAGCCTGAGTGCTAACATATGACGGCTAGGCCTCGAACCTCGCGCTCGCAATCAGCATCATTTGGCTCATCCGTGCAGTCTGGTCGCTCTTTGCTCAGCTTTCCTCAAGATACGGATACTCCTACTACAACTACGACACTTACACTTGGTTCAACATTGTCTCACTGGTCGTCGGTATCTTGGGCAGCTTCGCTGTTTTCATCATGCTCTACTTCCTGGCCACTCAGGATAAGTACGGCCTCAATACGCGAGGGGAACTGGTGCAGCCCGCGAAGCTCAATGATGAAGAGGCATCGGGCGCCCATATTACCACTGCCAACAGCGTATATTGATTTGGTCGAGACCAATCGGGGGGTCAGCAACAAGCGAGAGGTTTATCCGAAGATCCGTTCTTGCGGGTAGAGCCTAGAGGGCGTGATAGTTACGCCTGGGTTGGTTGGGAATTGGGGACGAGCGAGGAACAGCATGATACCAGATAATGCGTGATGATACTCATTACTTCTAACTTACGAATACACGACATCTACCTCCATCCACTTTGATTATTTTGAATGGAGCCTGTGCACTCTAGGTTCACCGCATGGTTCATTTCTCTTCTTCAGCAACATACTCTTCAGGTGCAACGAAGTCCTCTGATCCCCAGGTCTTGGCAATATATCTAGAAATAAGTCAGCAAAGTGCTGGATCGGGCTAAGGAAGAGCCTTACTTAGTATGGCTCCCTCTTGCAGCCAATTCGCCCTTGTTGTTGAAGAATGTGACTGTTGTATATGCAAGCGTTCTGCCCACTTCAAAGAATTAGTTTGAGCTCGCTACTTTGGACAGGGCTACAACGTACTCTTATCACAGGTGGCGGTGCCCATCATGATGTCGCCAGGCTTACCTCCAGGGTTGAGATACGTGACTATTGAAGTCAGTAAACTGATAAATACTGATCATGAAGTAGATCATGAGAGCTTGGAGATGAAGATGAATACTTACCGTTGATGTCAGTCGAGACACCGGTCATGAATCGGCCCTTGGAAGCGACGGCGAGAGAGCCACCGAGGTCGACGAGACTAGCAAGAGTCCCGCCATGAATCGTGGAAAGGCGATTCTATGGGTCGATTCGACTCAGTAAGTACTCAGTAAGTGGTTCTTGTCGTAACAAGCGAACATGGATGAGACGTACCGTGTGTTCCTTTTGGATTGCCAACTCGAAATCAACTTTGCCCACCGATGCGCCAGTCACTCGAAACTGCTTAGATGTGAGCAAAGTACCGCGTATATACGTGAGTGTTTATTCATACGTTATTGCCAAGAAGCCTAAAGTCATGTGAGTACTCAATGGGCGATGCACAGGAAAACGGATGCAAGCCAGCTTACCTCGGCTCAAGTCCGGAGTCCTTGGTGAACGACTTGAAGACCTGCGGGGCAATTAGAGTCAATTGGCGGTCGGCGTATGTAATATAAACTCACTGAGCGCACGAAGCGCAACGGAGGCAGCTTTGGGGCCATATTCGAGCTTAGGCGGCGAGCAAAGTGACAAGAACTGGTGAGAATGAGCTTCAAGGTGAGCTCGGCGAGCTTCGGGAAGGAAGTCGCGACGGGGAATATGACGTGCGGACGGCAGTACGTACCTTATCTCAGGACGATAAGGTAACCATTTCTCATCGGCACTTCGATAAGATAAGAAGCCCCAAGCTCCAGCCAGGCACCACCCACGAGAGCCCCTGCCTAAGGCGGAAACCTCCGCTAACCCCTGCCCAGTTGATGATTGAATGATCGCTGCGCCGTGCAATTCGCCTGGTCGCAAACCATCGTGAACTCTTCCAACCCTCGACAGCTCTACCACTTCGACCCACCACCCGCCAAACTCGAGTCCGAAACCCCGCGCCGCCTATACAAACATGAGATAACATCAACTCACATCTTCTCTCCCTCCTCTACCCAAAACCCAGCGCGCAAATCGCCCATCATGTCGGTCAGCTCGGGTCAATCGCTCCAGCTGGCCGACTACCTGGAGAAGCTGCCCGGCACGACCTTTAGGAAGCTGTACCTGCAACCCTCTACGGCCTTTGCCATCTTTCGCCGGATGATTCCGCCGCTGGGTGAGAAGCCATGACCTCCCCTTGGATCGATAACTCAGGGCAATGGGTTGTTTCGTTAGAGAAAGAGCAAGGTCGCTGACCCAGAAGCCCAGCGAAAACCATCGTCATGGCTATTCTATACATGCCGCAGCCTATGTTGCTAGAGGACCTCGATGTTTGGGTCAAGCCGGACTCAAGAAGGTGCGCGCTGAAGTCTCACTAGTTACATACTTGCGCCGTCTAACACACCATCTTGCTCTCTCACAGGCAAAAAGACCAGGCAATCTCGACCCTTCGCAGCCTGCACATCCTCCAAATCACACCTCCCTCCAAAGAACGGCCACAAGAGATGCAGCTCACGACAAACTTCAAAAATTCGCTACGCCTCGCCCTCGAAGGCGGCGGATCGCATAACTCCTTCGGCGTGCCCTCTTCCCTCCCCGTCCCGCCCGAGATCACCGTCCCATTCCTCGACCGCTATGCCCGTCGCAAGTGGGAGGACATCCTCCACTACATTGTCAACACCGTGAACCCCGGCGGCGCCGACGTCAGCGGGCCTAAGGCGTCTGTTAAGGATCTGCTCGCCGCCGGAGCGCTCGTACGTCGCGCCAACGGTGCCGTCGGCATCACACAAGCCGGCTTCACCTTTCTCCTCCAGGAGGCCAACGCCCAGGTCTGGACCCTCCTGCTGCTCTGGCTCGAGGCCACCGAGCACGCCTCCGCCGTTACTGGAATGGAGAGCACCGACGCTCTGAGCTTCCTCTTTCTCCTCGCGAGTCTCGAGCTGGGCAGAGCCTACGACACCCAGGCCCTCACCGAACCACGGCGCAACATGCTCCCCAGTCTCCTCGACTTTGGCCTCATCTACATCCCCCAACACAAAACCCAACAATACTTCCCGACCCGCTTGGCGACGACGCTCACGAGCAGCTCCAGCGCCCTCCGTAGCGCAGGCGCAGGCTTCTCCGCCGCTCTCGCCGCAGCTACTGGCCCGCGGCCGTCCAACGGCCTGACCCCCGGCGGAAGCGAAGAGAACAAGGGTGGCAGCATCATTGTCGAGACGAACTACCGAATCTACGCCTACGGCCAGACACCACTCCAAATCGCAGTCCTGTCACTCTTCTGCAAGCTCAAGCTGCGTTTCTCCGACATGGTATCAGGCCGGCTCACGCGTAACTCGATTCGCAACGCCGTCGAGCGCGGCATCACAGCCGATCAGATCATCTCATACCTCGCCGCCCACGCTCACGAGCAGATGCACCGCATGGCCGCGGTACGGAACCGGCCCGTCCTGCCACCCACCGTCGTAGACCAAATCAGGCTGTGGCAGCTCGAGACGGAACGCATGACGACCACGAGCGGCTTCTTGTTCCGTGATTTCGACAGTCCTAGGGAGTACGAGGACATTGCGGGCTACGCCGCAGAGATTGGCGTACTGACATGGCGCAACGATAAGCTTGGCATGTTCTTTGCTAGTAAACACGAGCAAATTAGGGACTACCTCAAGTTGAGGAAGAAGGCTGAGGATTAGACAGAGGCGCTATAGTGCTATTCCGAGAGACATAGATAGACCTAGGCACAGGTCTAGAGGCGCTCGAAGTGTATTGCAGGGCGGCTACATGCATTAGCAGGCGTTTTTGGGACGGAGATGGTTCAGGCTGGTGTAGAAAGTAAATGGGTATTGTTCTTGACAGCTAACTTTTGGTCTCCGGTAACCTCCATCTCTGGTGAACGCCATCTAAAAACAATGCAGGGACATAGGGTCCTTTTCCTCGTACACTCCTCCTGTACGACAGAGACTCTTCTTGACCGAATCAAACAATGGTATAACTCCAGGCTTCCCCCTTCCCTAAGTCCAAACAACCCCAACAAATGTAGTGAAACGCCGATAGCCATGATCTACAATAACCCTTCGATAGCGACATACTTCAGACCATCACATGATGCTTGCTTGCATGACGTTCCCTTGCTTACCCTTGCCGGTTTCTCCTTCCAACTGGGAGCTGCCGAAGCTCCGTCTTCCACCTCCGCTTCCACTAAAGAGCCGTGCGACGAATCCCCTGTCCGGGTTTGCGCCTTCTGGTAGGAGTACGCTGCGTCCCATTCTTCGGGCATACGCCTCTTGCCATGCTTGTAAGCTTCTCTTGGCCTCGGGTGTACCGCAAAGTGCCTGGAGGTGTAGGAAGATGCGGAGACTGCGATTATCTTCGTCCGAGAGTCGCTTGGCTTCTTGGATAGCAGCAGTGCCGTAGCGATCGAGGGCTGTGGTAGTGCTCAGGGGTAGATTGCCACGGCCTTGATAGGCGGCACGTTGTTGCGCAAGAATACTGGCCTTGGATGCGTGGGCTGTGACAAAGATCGATAGAGTTTGCTCTTGAAGGGATTCACCTTGGAAACGATCCTGTAATGACATGAAACGACCCGACCAGTAAGCCGATGGCTGCGCTGTCGTAATGATGAGTGGGTTGACCTCAGGAGTCATGGGGGTGGGAGTTCTAGTCGGAATGGTAGTTGTAAGAGTCGAAGAACTGCTGGTCTTGCGAGATGCCACTGTCTGATGGGAGGCTTTGCGATCACTTCCCGTGAAGCTGGATAGAGATGTTCTAGAAAGAGAGGAGGTGAGATTTGACAGAACGGTAAAAGTGCGAGACTTGGGCAGTCGCTGCTTCTCTATTCCGCCTGTGGGCGATCGTGATTGCTTTCGACGACCTCCGAGTGCAGGGCTGCTTCCGATGGAACTTTCAACTGTCTCTCCCGCATCCCTTTCAATTTCGGACGGCACGGATGTATGAGGCGGCCCTCGCAGGTGTGTGGTATTTGTGATGGCCATGACGGGGAAACTGGCGACAGTCGGATTGCTGGACAACGGTCCTCCTGTGGTGAAGCTGGCTGACAGTCGTCTAACTCCATGAGATCTTGCCACGCACAGTTGGGCTGCTGTTTCCGAAGGCGATATGAGCTGGTTCTCTTGGGAACGAACTCTCTCGCACTGCGTAGGAGCGGCCTCATCTGGAGATGGAATGCGCGTATTGTCAGCGTTGGCGTGGGAAATCTCCCCCAATACTCGACGATCTTTGACAGCAGCTTGTCTTTGAGAAGTGAGATATGGTTGGTAGCTTCCACGACCGGATGGGATACCTTGCCGCTGAAGAGGTGGGCGGGTTTCTCCTTGTGATTTTCGATGGTCAAGTTTGGTAGGTTCGAGGGTTCCATAACCTTTGCTTGCTTCGGAAGTCTTGAGAGTACCACCTTGTCGATTAGGGCCAAGAGTCGAATGGCCTCTCCCCGAATCAGCGTCTGAGGTCGGTTGGGAGATGTCTGAGTAGTGCTTTTCGGTGTCGTTGATGCTCGAAACGACGGTGATTGCTTCGGCACGCTCAAGATCCGGTCCGCTGCTACGCTGGACAGGCCCAACAGGTCCCGAGATAGTCGGGCGCATTGAGGTGTGCTTTGGTCCCCGAGAATTACGGTTCCGAAGCGGAAGGAACGAAGATGCAGATAGACGGTCTCGCATTTTTCCAGCAGAATGATGAGTGCGGCAAGATACAGGATGCACTCGAGGAAAATGAGGTAGGGAATCGCCCAAATGAGGACGGTGATAGTTACCCGGCTACTTCCAAGGGCGTGCTTTGAGGAGGCAACAATAATGGCGATGGACTGGGTGAAAGAGTGGAAGTTGAGAGTAGCCGCGAGAAAACAAGACTTGGCCCACAGGGAAAAAAGGCGGAGGTTGGCTTTGGCCAGGTCGATGCAGAAGTACGAAATCGTGACGATGCAGCGGATGGTGTGGGCGAGCAGGACCAGGCCAAGCGATCCGGACCCGGCGGGGGACATTGTCTGGAGAAGGAAGTGGATCACAAGAAGTAAATCAGACGAGGCGAGAATTCCAGTGTTGGAATACGCAGCTAGAGCGGTGAATTGCAGCCGTGGCGAGGTGATCCAAAAGTGAGGTTCAGATGAAAAAGTGCTCTGATGTTGTTGGATGTTTGGAGGACGCGTCGACATCGAGTGCACGGTCGAGGACCTTGAACAGATGTCGACTCACATGCAGCTCTTGCAGAGAGAGGAAGGCAGTTGGGACTCATTGCGAGAGGAAGGTCGAGTGCCGTTGTCGTTGCCATCATCGTCAACTTCTCCTGACGCCCCTGCCGCGATGTCCCTTCTATCCCAGGTGACAGGGCAGCTTCTACAATACCAAGGTATGTTCACTGAGAGTCACTTCCCATCACTTCCCATCCAAGCCTCGCTCTTACTATAATTTCAAAATGGTCATGATTCCTTATCTCATCAAGTATGTCGTGTCAAACATGATGCATGGGGCAAGAACAACCTCCAGCGCCAATGTCGATGATGCGAGAACCTTTACATGCAATAACGTCTTGATGCGAGCCAGATTCCTCAATTCTCCCATCCCTCAATCTTGAACCTGAAGACCTCGTCACCTTGGCCTCTTTCAATGACGTTACCATTACCATCCCACAATGCTCTCTCGCGATATGTCACGTTGCCGTCCCAGTCAACCATGATGATGGTCTGCCGTTGTGTCCCGTACAAACCCACCTCGAAGCCCATGGTGCCTTGGGCAGGAGGATCGGGTCGTTCGCCCAGCTGCAGGCCTTCGGCTGCCTTCTGGTCATCTGTGGCCCATTGACCCGGGCCTCTGGAGACTGCCTCCTCCATGGCTTTTCGATGGCTCTCGTCGCCCAAGGCAGGTACGAAGATGGATTGCTTCAACTCCTTGATGTAGTCCGCCAGGCTCATATCAGGGTGCTTGGGAAGTGTATCGGTATCCAAGACCTTGAACAGGCGCTCAGCTAGAGCACCCTCGTCCAGATTGTTCGTAACAGCTTCCTGGATGGCCTCCTTGACCAGACGTTTTCCATTCTCAACCTTGGGCCACGGCTTAGGGTCATCGTACACGGTATTGCTGAGACCGTAAACCTCGCCCCGCTGTTCTCCGATCCACGGTACGTCCTGCAGTTCATCGCACCTGTTGGAGATGATGGCGATACCCTCGAGTGCACGTTCGGGCTTTTCGTCGGTGCCGCGCTTTCGTTTCAATTTGCCTGCTACCATGGAAAAGCCACCGACGCCCTTGACGCCACCATCCTTGACGAGGTGATTCACCGATGTTGAAGCGGGCTCTGTGGGGTCGAAACCAAGCCAGGCAGTGACCATGCCACCACGACTGCGGGCAGCGTGGATGGGGTGTTTGGAATCCTGTGTATCTGTCTCGCGGTAGTTTGTGAGGACTGCGAGCTGGCCGGTCTTGGTGATGCCGAGCCAGGTGCCCTTCTCCGCTCTCTGAAGGTCGCGGGCAGAGAGCACAGTAGCGCCGGAAGGATGAGTCCACCAGTGCGGGCGGGACGTTGGGCGTAGGATAAACTCGTCCCGGTTATCGACAACGATGAGAGCGTAGTCGGGGTGGGCGGTGGTGAGTAGCACGATGCACATGCTGGGCGTTTTTTGTGGTCTTTTGGGGGGTTTGCCTGCCAAGTATATCGATGATCTTCGACTTGGTTCTTCCTGAGGGCAACCGTCTTGGTCTCGATGAGTGCCCTCTGGGTGGTTGTGATCCAATGTTTGGTTCTCCGAGGGAGTGCTCGTGTTTATGTTTCCGTAGAGGAGCGGTGGGCAATGAGGCTTGTTCCAACCTAGAAGTTGTTGGTGAATCCAAAGACCTGACGTGTCTATGTATGACTGGTGTTCGTGATGGTTAGGTTTCAATACGATACGTGACAGTGTGCCCAAACTGTGAAAATCTCTTGGGAATTGTTGGCCCTTTTCAATGTTTTCTGTTCTTGGATCTATCAGTCCACCTTAGAAGCACAAAAGTCCAAGGTCAGCTCAGCTTAGCTTGGTCTGGTTGGAGATGGCCGTTGCCTCGGTCTTGGAATCATGCATCGCCTGACGCTGGAGCTTGGCAGGCTGTTGGGGAGTTGGCAGCGTGGCCGATCCTGTGTGCTCCGAGGGTCGGACAGCGGTGCCGGCCGGAGGAGATGACAGCATGCTTCCAGGCACGCCAGGTTTGGATGGATCAGCTTCAGCTTGCGAGGCCGAGCGGAAGCTGCCTGTGCATGTGCATGTGCTGTGCTCTGCAGTGTGCTGGCAGCTGCACAGCGGTACCGGAATCTGCAGCAGCAATACGACGCGAGCAGCTCGGTTCGGGTTCGGATTTTTGGCTGGAGGGAGGAGACCAGCTGTCCCCAGCTGAAGACACTCCGACTCTTTGTCTTGGGGGAAACGGTGGGCTTTGGCGTGGCTCGAGATCTTGTCATGGATGAAGTATGGCGTGAGGTTGAGGCTGGTGATCTTTCATAGTGGCTGTGCTGACCCACCGAGGTCTTACATAATAACATCCGGCTCGCGGGTTATTAGGTAATCAGCGTTGGATAGGTATTCCCGGTCCATTTTCCCCGCACTGCTCAACCCCACCAATTTTCTCAAAGCTTCGAATTCGCTGCTGTCCGCCTTGATACCTGCCTCGTGCGACGACCAATGCCGTGCAGCAGCAGACATCAGACAGATGATGACCGCAGTGTACCCTGGGATGACTCTCCTTTTGACTGTAGTCAACAGACGTTAAGACAGTCCGAAAACCTCTACCCTGGTCAGCGTCCGACGATCAGTACTCCATAACAGACTCCAAGTGAATCACCGTTGGACTCGTCATCAGATTCGTGGTTGCGAAAGCGTCGGCTGCACCATGTCAACGCGTCTATCCTGACTATCTTGCAGTCTTATTTCTCGCTAACTCACGTTACGGGTCGCGACCTGTCAGCAATTCTCGAACCAGTCATCATCAGCTGTAGTACCTGTGGATGTTGCTCCAAGACGGTTGGTAATCCATTGCAAACCCGCTCGACTTCAACGGCCGGCGATGTGGATATCATTTGCCTCTTCTTTCGGCCGACCAAGGGTCTCCCTCGCGGCGAAGATATCTTTGGCAAGGATCGTAATCCTACCTATCGATCTGGCATGGCCTTGAGATGCGGAACCCCAATACGGAGACTCGGGTCTTACTCTGGCGGAGATTGAACCCCGAAAGTCAAGTTCGAACATCATGTTTCCCACTTACGATGTCCCAGTCGGAGGCGGTCCGAAGAGATTAGAGCCTCCGCGCGTCTCCTTCAATCCAGAACTTTTGTTGGCCGCGCGCCGTGCTACCCTCTAGGCTCTATCTTCCATGGGGGAAAACACCAAGCAAGAATCCGAACGCATTTGACCTTCCTCTTTCGACATGGCGCGTCGGCTGTTACCCGGTGCGAGCTCAGCAATCGCTGCAGTCTGACATGAATCGGCACTTTGTCCCGCCGACTCTATGGGTGCAATGGCGTTTGCTCACCAGGAGCCTCCCAATGATGGCAAACGACAGTCTCAGTGCTTACGTTCTCAATCTTTGCCGCCAACACGACGACATGGCCTCGTAGCCTGTCTTTGATACTTGCAAAGCACCTATGTTCCGCTTAGGCTCCGCGTCAACTTGGCAAAGATTGCGCAAACCTGTTGGTCAGATCACAAGAGATGTCGCCTGACGTGAGTCAACAACAGGCATCAACGCCGGTCCCAAGAAGTAAGCTCAACCTCGTGGCTTGCCCGGTCATTGTTGGGGTGAGATCATTCAAGCTTGTTTGACAAGCCTCTTTATTAATCGATCAAGTCTTGTCGGTTTCTCATAGCTTTTGGATTGCCCAGCCCTGCTCTCTCCGCTAAACAAATCCCACACTCATTCAAGCCATTGAGTTCGACCCAGCATTGACCCCTGGTTTTCTCAGCGAATAGCGCACCCTTGACGAGCCATTACATACATCACCGCTCACTGCTTAGACCAATCTGAACAATGAGCTCGAGATGTCTCAACGACGACTCCCTCGGGCCTAGTGTTCAAGGCTGCCGCGGTGATTTCGACTTTACTCTCCGGTTCGAGAGGATATTCTTGGCCATCATCCCTGCGGCCGTTTTTATCGCTCTCTCGCTTCCGCGTGTTGCCTACCTTGCTCGCAAACCACGCATCGTCGGCGCCAAAGCTTTTCAAACAATGAAATTGGTAGGTCATAGTGATCAGGTGACAAGCTTCGTCTGTGGCTTGGTTCTAAAGTTTCACTTCTTTTAGGCCATCATAACAGTGTTTGCGACACTGCAATTCGCAATTCTCATTCTTCAAACAACCTCGAGTGGATCGCGCATCGATGGTTTTGCCGCCTCAGCCTCAGCTCTTGGCTTCCTCGCCGCTCTCTTTATGGTCGGATTATCGTATGCCGAACACTCCAGAGCACCTAGGCCCTCGTTGCTTTTGACCGGCTACGTATTTCTCCAGATTCTCTTTGACGTTGCTCAAACGAGGACATCATGGTTGGTAGCTAGGACTTTCTCAACACAACTGTTTGCAAGACTGTTCACGGCCTCGCTGGTAACAAAGCTCGCCATCCTCATCATCGAGGCCCAGAGGAAATCACGATGGATCCACTGGACCGCCGAAGAACACAGCCCGGAGGAGACAAGCGGCCTGTTCAGCCTAGGCGTTTACTGGTGGCTCAATCGTCTCTTCCTCCACGGATATCGCAACGTCCTGAAGATCGGCGACTTGTATGCTCTCGACCGTGGCATGATAGCCGAGACGATGCAAATTACTCTCGCTCAAGAACTTGAGAAGGGCAAGAACCGCGGCAAAAATCACGGGCTCGCAAAAGACTTAGCCAAGGCGTTGGCTGTCCCTCTACTCCTGCCCGTCGCCCCACGGATTGCCCTCATCGGATTCAGCTTCAGCCAGCCGTTCTTCATTCAGACTCTTTTAGAGTACCTTCAAGATGACAACGCGTCAAAGAACTTGAGCT